CACTGCTCTCTAGAATTCCTCCTCCACCACTGGCCATTTGTGGCTCCCTGATGACCCTTCCCCTGGATGTCCCATCCCCACTCCCCTCACTGGCACCCTCCACCTCCTGGCTCCTGAGGTCTCCTCCCTGCAGCAAATGCTAGGATCCTGCTCTGTCCCTCACCGGTCCCTCCCTCCTGTAGTCACCCTTCCCCTCTGGCTCTTCCTCCTCCTCCTAATATGCTAGAGTATTTCCCACTTTTAAAGAAGCAGAGAAGAGCGCACCTGCAATCCCAGAGACCCTCAAGGCTGAGGCAAGAGGATCACGAGTTCAAGGCCAGCCTGAGCAACTTAGCCAGACTCCGCCTCAAAATAAAATAAAAAGGGCTGGGGATGTAACTCAGTGGTAGAGCACTCCTGGGTTCAATTCCTGGTAGAACAAGGGGAAAAAAAAGTGCAAACAAAAGCACAACTGGTCTCATTCAGGCTCATGGCTCTCGGGCTACTGCCGAGTCCCTCTCCTGATGGTCTCGTCTAACTTCCAAAGAGTTGTCACATTCACTGTGTCAGCTTCTCCACCTTCCGTGTTGCGGCAGCTTTCTGTCCCCAGTGCACAGAGATGCTCTCACAGACCTCCTGGCAGAGTCCCTGCTGGTCACATCCAGCCAGCGTCCCTGGTCCTGTCCCACCTCCATCTCTGCTGAGCTGACCCTCTAACCCCTCTCTGCTCTCCTGTCCTCCCCAACGTCCTTGCTCTGTGCCCATCTCTGCCGTTCCTGGCTCTGGTTCTCTCCTGCAGCCTCCATTGCTGTGGGTCGAGGACATTTCCAACCCAGTCCCTCCTCTGTGGAGCCTCAGACCAGCTGCTCTCTGGATGGTTCCATCCGGGTCTCCCAGAGGAGACACAAACCATACTGCCCAAACCAGGACTCAGTGTCTCTCCTGGCCTCCGGCACCTGCTCCATGTTCACCATCTCAGCAGGGAGTGGTACCCCAGCACCCCAGACTCAGCCTAGATCTCCGGCTGTCCTCATCCAGTCAGTCTGTCATTCCTGCCGGCTTCCCTCCCAAACCTTTCTCAGGTGTATTCCACATGGAACTGCCAAGCCCCAGAATCACACTTAGCCCCTCTCTTCACCCTCCTGCCTCGTCCACCCAAGTCTGTCCATCTGCTGCTGCCCTGGGTTTTGTTAACTGCAATTTTGCTAATGCCAGTGTGTATTGATTACTTGACGGGGCCAGAGTATTAAGTGGTCATATTAATTTATTAAATACTGAAATGAGATAGGAATTATCTACATTTTTGCAGTTAAAGAAACTGGGGCTCAAAGAAGTTCAGTGATGAGCCTTTCGTCACACAGGTACTGGATTTAAGCCTCATGCCTCTGTGTCCTAGTACCTGTGATATGGTGCCATGAGCACGTGGACCTCAGACCTTCCGTGATAGCCTGAGCCTTGGAAGTCAGAGTCCAGGAGGTCACCCGAGGCCACCCAGGGGTTCCCCTGAGGTTTATGGCTGGACTGCATCCTCTGATGGTGGGGAAGGGTGCATGTGCGTGATGAGGAGGGCAGTGGCCGCCCCTTATCCTCAAGTGTGTTCTATCCTTTCTATCCTGCCTGTATCTGGTGGCACATCTTGGTCTGATTATTTCTTTTCTGGGTCCAGCCAGGCCAGAGGCTGGCCCAAGGGTCTCTAAGTTTCAGTCCTTAGAGTCTGTCCCAGCCTCTGCTCCCCTAGGCAGTCCTTCCAGAGTCTCACTGAGGTCTGCAGGAAACACAGGTCAATGGTGTCCTCCCTCTCTGTGAGAGCTCCTTGGGCTGTAGAATAAGCCGGGACTCTGCAGAGCCTTCCAGGGCCCTCAGGCAGCCCCCACCTCCCAGTCCCGAGACTCACGGGTGTGTTTGTTCCTCCACGTGTGTGCCCAGGCTGAGCCTTGGCTGGGGTGTCCTACCTCATCCCCCCCCCCCCGTTTCCTTCCAGGCCCAGCATGGTGTCGCTGGTCACTGCAGCATCTCCCGGTTTCCTTATCAGACAGCAGCAGGGGCTCACTGGGCGCCCGTCTCTTCAGCGGAGTGGCTCGCCCATCCTGGTTGACAGTGCGCGTCCCCTCGCCCCACCAGGTGTGACAGTCCATGTTCATTAGTCCTGCCTGATGTTGTAGTGGGTGCTGGTTTCGCCTGGGGTGATGGTGAATGTTCATCATTCTGCCTGGAGGGACAGTGACCAGCCAGCCCTTCGTCCTGCCTCACAGGGAGCACTCACCGCCCTGATGGTGTGACAGAGAGCACCATTAGAAACAGGGCTTGTGGGTGACAGCTGGAGGAGGGCCAGGTCCTGTCGAGTTTGAGCCTCCTGCTCTAGACACGGCTCCTCCCTGTGACAGGCATCTGTGTCACCTGGGGCTATCTCATAGAGATGGAGAGCTGGCCTGCCACAACTGTACGGCTGTGCGTGTGCATGTCCTCGACAGGGCCCTTCCCTTGCCCTCCTGTCTCCATCGTCTCTCAGGGACAGTGCTCTGCCCAGGCCCCTGGGGAGCAAGGTGGACACAGAGCTCTGGCTCCTGGGGCCGTGTGAGACACTGGGGCAGTGGATTTTGTCCTTGGGGCCGACACTCTTTACTGGGCCAGTCCTAGCTTTGTTTCCTCTCCTCCTGAAACCTGAGTCCCTTCTGTCACCTTACTTCATTCCTATGGTGCCAGTCACCATGGAACGTCTGTAGTCATAGCTTTAATGGAAGGGGTAGACAAAGGTCACTTATCTTGGTCACTTATCTTATCTGTTCCCTGAGCTGTGAATGAGGCCAAGGGTGGCAATGCAGGGCCTCAAGGAGTGAGGACAAAATCCTGGTCACCACAGTCCACTGGCTCATTCAGTCCTTTAGGTCAGGGGCTGGCTGTTCTGACGGCGAGAGAAACACTTTAGTGCTGGTGGAGTGCGGGGCAAACAGGGTCTGTGACTTGTGTCCTGGGGCCAGGTGCTAAGGGGTGTCTATGATAAACCCAAGGCTCTGTCCACGTATGTGTTGGAATATCTGATTCTCATTTTTAAAATTGGGGTGTGGATTGCTGAGTAGATCCTGGGCCTGAGTGATTTCCCTGGGGGAGCCCCTCACTGCTGTCCTGTAGGATGTGGTTGTCCATAAGCAACTGTGGCCACTTCCTCTTGGGCAGGTACCTAGGAGATCCTAGGTCTCTAGACCTGTAGTGCCTGAGGGACTGAAGGTGCAGATCTGATAGGGACTCACAGGGAGCTCTGCTTGGTGGGGTGACTTGGCTGGTGTGGAGTGGCTCCAGGTGTCCCTGAGGATGTGGAGGAGCCTGGGCAGCCTGGGAGGCTGGAGGCGGGGATTCTTGTTCTGCAGGAGAGAGTGAGCTCTTGGGGGGAAACGGAGGCAGCACTCACCACCTTGACAACTGAAGGGGAGAACTAGGGCTGAGTCCTTATTGCCAAATGAATCTGAACTATAGCCCAGTGGTTTTCAATCCTGTTTGAATATCAAAATCACTTAGGAGTTAATCAAAACAAACAAAAAATGGATCCTCACAGTCTCCTTCCTAGAAGAACCACTTCAGTAAGGGGTCTGAGGTGGGGTCTAGGAATCTGCCATTTCAACCAGTTCCCATGAGATTCTGGTCTTCAGCAATGGGGAGCGCTGCTTTCCTACCACAGTTTCATATGACGGGTTTCCTCTGGTTAGAGAGATGCACAGCAGATGGGGCCTGTAATTCTCACTGCCCCCAAAGCCTTGAACTCCAGCTTCTTGGCTTTAATTCAGCCACAGAACATTCCTGCTAGGCCTCGCCAACCCCTTGAGTCTACCAGCTCACTGGGCTAAAGGTCGGGGTGTTGATAACTGTGCAATGGAATCCTCTCACCTTGCTGTGACAAGTGCTCTCACCCCCAAACGTGACTGCGTTCACCCTATGTGGCCGCGTTCTAATCTCCCTTTGGACAGAGAACCCATGCGACTTGGGGGGCTCAGCAAGGAGACTGGGCCCGGTGGAGCTGGGCGGGGGCAGCCGGGCTGAGCTGCCTCCTGTTTGGCCAGGGGGTTGCTAGGTGCTGCTCTGCCTTCTGGGACCTGGGTGGGGACCTCCGTGGCAGGCTGGCTTCCAGATAGAAGGCAGGTTTCTCAGTTCCTGAGTTGGGATTTATTGCTCAACAGAAGGGAGTTGGCACAGTACCCGCCCTGTCCCCAAATAACATCTCGAGGGAACAGCTCTCTGGGTAGAGACTGGGACGTTATTGTACCACTGACCAGCTCCGGCTGTCTACCTTCCTGACCCCTCATTTCAGCAAAGAATTCATAAAATTGTGTGAAATCACAGAGCCTTGCAAAGGGAGGGTGACATTAGGTGGAGGGTAAAAGCTGAGGACTGGCCCCTGAGGCTGGGAAGAGCCTTGGAGTGGCCAAGTCTCAGCCACAGGACAGCGAGATGGCAGAGGGTCAGAGGTGTGGCTTTTTCAATGAGGTGAGCATGAAGGCCCAGAACTCCATGCAGATGGGGACAGACAAGCCCCAACCTGCTGCTGGCTGCTTGGGTGCGGTGAGTGCAAAGTGTCTAGGCTCACATGGGCTTTGGGGGCAGCTGGTGGAGCGTGAAGGGCTTTAGGAGAAAACAGAAACTGAAGGAAAAAGTGTCAGAGTTGCACTCTGGATCCTAAAGGTGTCCATGAAAGCGATGGCGGGTTCATTGGGTTTTGTTGACACTCTCCATCACGAATGCTTTCCACAGGGTCGAGTGGCCTTGGACTTGACTTGGGACTTAGGAACTCTGAGGTGTCTGAGATCAGCCCAAATGTCCGAAAAGACGTCTGGGTGTCCTGGGTCAGTGGCAGATCTGCTCGCCTCAGCAAGGCTTTGGCCCCTGTGCTGTTGCCCATTTTTACTGACTTCTCCCTGCCCTTCCCACCACAGGTCCCTGGATGTCACAGGTCAGAACCATCCTGACTCCCGAGGCCTGCACTCACGGTCCAGGCCTAGCTGCTGCCTCTGGACAGCCTCTCCCCTGGGGGCATGGGCACCCGAGACGATGTCACCTCAGGTGAGAAGCACCCAGGGAGGCGGCTCCTGGCCTTTCCCAGGGTGGGGGACCTTCCTCGGATCATGCTCTGTCGGGAGGTGGCTGTGCCTCTCCAGCCCTGCCCAGCTCTTCACATGCTGGCACTGGCCCTCCCTGCTCTGTCACCTGTCTGGTGGCTCCCTGGCCTGCAGGGGCTTTGAGGGTTCTGGAGATCCGGCCTGGGCTTTGCCTCCACTCTCTGAGACAGAGTGGGCTGGCTCCTCAAGGGGCCCCTGCTGTTCTGTGGTCAAGAGTGTGTGGATGGGCGGGGGCGTGGGGCCTTGGGGTTGTGGACGACTTGTTTCCTTAGCTGACCAGGTAGGGGAGCAAGAACTCTGTAATTCAGCCACAGAACATTCTTGCTGGGCCTCGCCAACCCCTTGAGTCTCCCAGCTCACTGGGCTGAAGGTTGGGATGTCGATAACTGTGCAATAGAATCCTCTTAGGGTCGGAAGACAGGGGTCCAGGCCTGGCTCTGCCTTTGGGGCAGCTGCTGTGTGTGCTCTAGTTTCCTCTGGGAAAAGAGGAGGTTGGTTCTGCCTCAGGTGAAGTGGGTACCTGTAACTTGCAAAGCTGGTTAGCCCCAAGGGCCAGATGACCTTTGGACAGAAGGTAGAGAATCAGGGTGGCCAGAGCCCGTCATCTTGGGAGACTGGGCCTGGTGCTCAGGCAGGACACCCTGAGGCTCTGACAGATTAATCTGAAAGCAACTGCATAGTTTAGGAATAAATCAGCACCTGACATTAGATTCTAGCAGGGAAGTGAGAGAAGATGTTGTGGTATGAAGCCCTGGTGCCTCCAGCTACTTGAACTTTGCGTGAACTGAGACACAGAGAGGTTAGCTTTTTCCTCTAGGCCACACGGTGACAGAAACGAGAACCCCGACTCCTGAGTCCAGTCTTGGGGCAGTGCATCTTGAGGGCAGGCAGGCTGTGTTTCCATCTGAGTGGGGGCTTCTCTGAGAAGTGGGTTAGGGCCTCTGAGGTGTGTTAGGGAGGGACTGAGCTAGGAGAATGAAAGATTGACATTTATTAGGTGCCTGCTGAATGGCAGGTACTAAGGAAGCCAAGGGCAGGCCTGAGGGCGAGAGAGATTGGGAAGAGTGTCAGGGCAAGGTGTGCCTGAGGCTGCAGGACACAGCAGGGGGAAGGCTCTATTTTTGGGTACCGGAATGAACTCAGAGGTGCTTAACCACTGAGCCACATCCTCAGCACCTTCTTTTCTTTGTATTTTATTTACAGAGAGGGTCTCACTGAGTTGCTTAGGGCCTGGCTAAGTTGCTAAGGTTGGCTTTGCATTCTCCATCTTCCTGCCTCAGCCTCCTGGGCCACTGGGATTACAGGCATGTGTCACTGTGCCCAGCTGGGGGAAGGCTTTTTAAAAGAGGGGATGGCTTAACTGAGCTGTGCACTCATCATTTCCTGGCTCCTTCTCTGATCTCAGTCTATTGGTGCCTCCCTTTGAAAAGCCTTCCCTGGCACTGTCCAGGGCCCCACTGTCATTGCTTGTTGATCCTTTTGTTCCCCCTCCAGACTTCTCCCACTCGAGGGCTGAGTCAGCCTTGCCCCCACCCCTATCCCCCTGTTGTATGCCAGAGTCACTGCACAGAGCAGTGATGAGCATTAATGAGTGTCTGCAGCTGGATGAAGGATGCTGGGGGCGGGGTGCGTTTAGGAGGGAAGATGACTTCCGAGAGGAGCTGTGGCTAGGTAATGGATGCTTGCAGCTAGGGTGTTAGTCAGGGCTTTGTGGGTTAGGAGGTGGTCTGAAGCAGGTAGGAGTGAGGAGGTGGCCCAACGGCAGCAGCAAGTATGATATGTACCTTGATAGAGAATGGTACTGCAGACAGTGGGGTCAGCACTTTTGGATGATGGAGAAATCTGAAGAGCCATGGCCAGGGGTTTGGAGCAAAGTCAGGATGAGGAGATCAGAGTGGGAAGCAGGAGATGGTACCGGCTGAGAAGTTAGCTTGAGCAGGGTTGGTGGGGTTTGATGGAGATTGCAGGCCCCCCACCTGGCCGGCCCCCCATCTGCAGGTGGGGGATAGGTGTGGGCAACCACATGCCCTTGGTCTTTCAGGCAGAGACCCTGGGGGCAGAGTGTTAGGTGTCTGCATTTGTGTTTGGATTTGTGCCTCGCCCTGGCCTTGGAGGCCTCTAAGATACACATATTCTGTGATTCTGTCCCTAGCCAAGGTTTTGGCTCCAGTGGCTGTGTATTGTGGGAGTGTCCCTAGGACCAGTGCTGGGCCCCGAGGGACCCCGCCTGGAGGCATCAACTCCAATCTGCCAGCTTATGGAGAAGGTAAGATGGTAGGACCCAGCCTGGTGACTCAGACACACCAAATGGCCTTTGAGAGCCCTGTGTGGCCTCTCCGAGAACTTTGGCAGGTGATGGGGAGCTCCCCTGGCAACAGCCCAGTCAGGGCCACAGACCCCAGCGCAGAGCTCGGGCCCTAGACTGGGGAGGGAGATGAGGGTGTTGGACGCCCAGCTGTTCTCAAGCTACGTGGGTCCTTTTTGCTTCTTTAATGCTTTCTTTGTTTTGCTGCCTCACCTCGCCTTGAACTATTGGGCTAACGTGATCCTCCTACCTCCGTGTCCTTAGGAGCTGGGACTACAGGTGCCTGCCACCATGTCTGGCTATGTGGGTGTTATTAGTATTGTGGTCCCTGCTGAAAACACCCATGGTTATTGGCAGGTACTCTTGGCTCTGTGCCTCTCTTAAGGCCTGTCTTAAGAGATCCCAAGAAGACCTGCAGAGTGTCTGAAAGGTCCCCTGTCAGCCCTTTCCCTTGTCCTGGGGGGATCCACCAGGCCACCTCTTCACCAGGGTCTTCCCCATCACCCCTCCCCACTAAGTGCATTGTAGGGCTTGGCCTCCTGGGCCCTTTGCTTCCCTCACTACAGGACCTCTCTTGGGGACCTGTACTGAACCTATTTATGGATGATGCATCTTCTTCCTCTAACAGATCCAAAGTCCCTTAATGGCAGACTGTGCCTCACATAGTCATATTTGACCTCCACTGCCTGGATACTGCTTGGCACCTTGTAGGTGCTTATTAAATGCTGATTGAAAGAACAATTGAATAAGTGTCCCCCTATGAGCATGACTTGCTCCAAATCACCCAACTTCCCCATGTGGGGTTGGCATTATCCAGCGCTCCATGGTACTGAATGGATTTGTTGGAGATCAGTGGACAGTGGTCCTTGGGCAGTTGGCCTTTGCTAAGTACTTATGGCCTCTCATCTATGCTGTGACAGGCTGGATGTTGAATCCCTTTTTATTCCCTGAGGACTTCATGATGTGGGTCTTGCTCGGTGCTTCTTAGACACTCTTGGATGGCTAGATTGCCCCAGGAAGGACAGGAACATTGAATGACAGATTCATTAGACAAGTTTCTTGCCTACTCCTAGGAAGCCATACCAATGGGTTTGCTGGTGTCTGGTGCCACTGGGCCCTGCATGCCAAGCCACTCTTCCCTTTCTGCTTTAGCCTCCCTCCAGCCTGTGCCAAGTGTCCTGGTGAGCAATGAGAAGCCACCAGAGATCTTGAGCGGCCATGGGGATGCAGGCAACCTCAAACTGGACATCCCTCTAAAGGACTGGAAGGCTAGGAATGGCCACCCCAGGAATCTTGGAGCTCTGACTTTAGGGCCTTGCCCCCTGGCACCTGCTACCTCTCTGGAGTCAGAGGCCAACAGTGTGGCCCGGGACACCATCCAGATCAAGGACAAGCTCAAGAAACGGAGGCTTTCAGAGGGCATGGCAGCACCTTTAAGAGGTGAGCCCTGCCCCCTGCCACCACCATCCTGAGGTCAGGTACCAGGCCATTCAGGCTGTGAGGATCAGTAGGTATCCAGATGACTTTTGGGTTCCACTGGGGCTGTTTAGTGGGCACCTGCCTAGATGATGACACTATTCGGGGTGGGATGGGGCAGGAGGGGCAAGGATATCTGTTGGGCACATAAAGTATTAGCAAAGGGCTGGGAGGGGGCCGTCTGTCTTCTAGGTGATGCTGGAAATGTGAAGACGGCTGCCACCTCACTGCATTAGCTGGAAAGGGTGGGGGGTGGGGAGTAGAAAGGATTGATTGGCCCTGTCACATACTAGGAACTAGCTTGGCATTTTATGTAAGGGAGGTCACGGAGTCTTTGAGAGTATCCCATTTACAGAGGAGCACACGGGGTCAAAGAGACAGCGACTTGCCTGAGGTCACACCGCTGCTATCCAGGGCCAGAACCCACTGTCCTCGCTCCTATAATCCAGCACTGAGTTTGCTTGCCTTCCTACCCACACTGCCTCTGCAGTGGGTCACTTGGATTGGCATTTCTACCATTCTATGGGAATGGAAAAGGACAGTGCCATCTGCTGGCTTAGTCTACTGATAGGTGTGGGGCGGCGGGAGACCTGCCTTCTCCCCTCCTCATCCTAGCGTCCCCCGGGACACGAGGCCCTGGTGCAGCTCTGAAGTCTGCCCCCACTTCCTACTGTCCCGGGACTGACTCATTTCCCATTCTCACCTCTGAACAGCCTTGCTGGATCCCGGGGGAGGCCCTAAAGGTGTTCTTCTGAGGAGCACCATCCCGCGCACCACCTCTCAGAGGCTGCTGAAGGTGCCCAGGCCGATGCCTCCCATCCAGAGCATCCCCACCACCCCAGAGGCCAGCGGAGCCAAAGAGAAGAGCCTGGACCTGCCGGGGAGTGGGAAGGGTCCCCAGGAGGTGAGAGCTAGGGCCCAGGAGATAAAGTGGTTCTGCTGCTCTGAGTCTTGCCTGCAATTGTCCATCTTCCCATCCTCTACCCACCCCTGCTCCTGTGTTTCTGCAGATGTCTCAGGGGCTGCCCTCAAGGGTGGGGGTGGCATCAGGAGAGGCTTGGGCCCTGTTTCACCTCCTCTGCAGCATCCCAACCCTTGGGACTTCTGGGTGGCTGCTGTGGAGGTGCAGAGGCTGCCTGGCCACCTGTCCTCTTTGGTCTTACTGTTCAGAATTCCCCCTGCTTTCTGGCCCTCTCCATTTAAAGCCGGGAGATGTGACAGAGGGAAAAGAATGCTGGGCCAGGACTCGGATTTGGGTTCTGCTCCTCACTGCCTGTGTCACCGTGGGCAGGTCATTTCCTTATCTAGGCCCCAGCAGGTACATCTACAAAAATGGAGATTTGGACCAGATGTTTTGAAAGTCCCTTCTAGCTCTGATGTTCTCAGAGTTTTCTGAAACAAGAAAGAAAACAAAAACCCAATAATAATAATTACAACCACCAAAGAGCTTGCCAGCCTTCTCACCTGGAGTGATAAGGAAGTAAGGGGCTTTCTGGAGGCTGGGGGTCTGGTCCCAGGGTCATGGGACTGAGAAGGGAAATCTGTGGGCACTTCCCAGCACTCTTCTCTCAGGTGGCTCCTGGCAGAAGGAGCCGAGTATCCAGCATAGGACGCTTCCATGGACCAGGACCCCTCTGCTCCCAGGTGCAGATTTCCCCACAATACCTGCATTGCAATGACGAGAAGATGCTGAAGTCACTGGGAGGCATCGTGATCCCACCCATCCCAAAGGCTGGGATGCCTGCGGGGACCTCCTCTAGTCGGTCTGGCTCCCTTCCCAGTCCCTTGCCTCCAGGAGGCCAGCACGTCCTCACAGGACTGAGGGTCCCACCCACACGGTAAGAGCCCCAGGTGTCTTCCTTTCCTCTATCTCTCCAGGATCCACAGGGGCTCCTCAAGACTGAGCCTTCATGTAACGGCAGAGCTCTGGGGCACAGGGATGGGAAGCCACAGACCTGTGGGGGCCACAGCATTGTTGCTGGGCCTTCTCTGATCCTGGGCTACAGCAGGCTGGGAGCAATGGCATAATGGACCATGTCTCTGGTCTCTTCTATAATTTCTTAATGTGTATGATTGCTGTAGTGATGAAGAAAAATGCAAATTATTTTAGAGCATGGTTAAGTTCATGGTGGTTCCCTATTTTTATGTTTTTTTTTTTGTACCAGAGATTGAACACAGGAGCACTGGACCACTGAGCCACATCTTCAGCCCTATTTTATTTAGACAGGGTCTCGCTGAGTTGCTTAGTGCCTTGCTTTTGCTGAGGCTGACTTTGAACTCATGATCCTCCTGCCTCAGCCTCCCAAGCCACTGGGATTACAGGCATGTGCCGCTATGCCCAGCTTATGTATTTTTTTAATGGATGCAAACTAAAAATTTGTGTTTGTATGTGTGTATGTGTGCATGGTATAATCCACAAAATTTCGGATTTAAAAAGGAGTCTTCATACCCAATAAAAGTTTGAGAATCCGTGGGATAGAGGGTCTCTGTGCTGTAAGGAATATGGGTTTATGGTTTGTAGGTAGGAGAGACAGTGCCCTCCAGATGGCCAACAATATCCCAGGGTCAGTCAAGCCTGATGTTGGAGCAAGTGTGTGTGAAAGTGTGTTCATGTGTGTATACAAGTGGGTGTAATATGTATCTGTGGGCATAAGCATGTGCGTGAGTGTGTGCGTGCACGCATGCGTGTGCACTCACTCACAGCCTGTGGGCCTGGCTCACCTAGCATGGTCACTGTCGAGTTCCTGTTGTGACTTCTTTCTCATTGCTTTGGCCTGATGTTCTGAATTCTCCCACTTCTCTCCAGCTCCTCACTGTCTCATCTCCTGTACTTTCTTCCCTAACTATCCTTACCAGTGTCTGTGTCCCCATCTTTCTCCAGCTGTGTTGGAGTGTGGGAACCTGTGCACATACTGGCTTCTGGATGCACATCCTCTGCTTGATTTCCCCTCTCTGCCTCCTCAGACCTCGCCTGCTCCAGCCTCCTCCCCTTCCTCCTCTCCTGCCCAAATTCCTGCCTCTTCCTCCCCTCTGCTTAGCAGAGTCACTAGTTATAATGACTCTTAGCCCCAGACCAGTGGCCTATTCACCTCATTACTCTTGATTTTTTTTGTGTCATTTGGGCTGTTGATGGTCCTTGGACTTTTCCTCAATTTCCTGACTCCTGCTTACCTGCTTCTGGACCTTCCAGGTGGTCTCTTGCCTCCCTCCTTCATCCATCAGTCTCTTAAATTTGGCCATTCCTGAAATTTATCCCAGGGCCCTCTTTGTTTTCTCCTGCGGCCCTCTGTGCCGTGCTCTCCTGGATCACATGGGTGGTGATCTTGCCACTCCTGCTCTGACCTTACATCTCCCCAGAGGTCCATTCTCTGGCTGGGCATCTCCAGTTCTCACAGCTGATGCAGATCAGCATGGGGGGAGGCAATATGGAGTACCTACGCTTCCCCAAACCACCTTTCCCGGGCTTATTTCCATCAAGGTGCAGATATTTGCCTTGGTCTTCAAATCTCAGCATCATCTTTGACTCTCCTCCCAGTACCCCAACCCCTTCCCCACAGATGGCCACGTGCCCTCAAGTCTTTCTTACAACAACAAAAACACACAAAACCTCCCACCTGGCTCTTGCTCTATCGGTTCCTCTGGGGTTTGTGGTTTCCAGCTCTTTCTTGACCACCCCCAAAAGCTCCTGACCTGCTCTCCATCCTCACCTTGCATCCCCCAGTGACTCTTCTGTGACCTTCACCTTTATTGACCTCCTGGTGCTCTCTCCTCTCCTGGGTGGCCTTTACGATGAGTCTCCTTGGTCTGACTTTGGGGCTCATCCTTTGCACCCCACTCCACATATTTCCTCCTGTGCTGCTCTGTAGGAACACCCCTGCCTCTCTGTGGGTGCTCTGGTTCCTGAGCGGGAGCCTTGCTTTCCCAGACGGTGTTTCCGCCCCAACCCTACTGCTCCAGCCCATTCTGTCTCTACCATTCCACGTCTACACTGGCTTTCATGGGCTGCAAAGGGTGCTGCGTGCAAGTGGCCATCTCTGCACTGTCCACTTGACATCCAGCCCATGGACTACCTGACCACAGCCTTTCATTATTTTATTTAAATTTTTAAAAATATTTTTAGTTGCAGTTGGACACAATACCTTTATTTTATTTATTTATTTTTTATGTAGTGCTGAGGACTGAACCCAGTGCCTTACACGTGCTAGACAAGCGCTCTACCACTGAGCCACAAACTGCAGGCCCTATTCATTTAAATTTGATTAACATATTTACATTTATTTTTCTTATATTTATTTTGTCTTCTCATTTTATTCTTTAACTTGCAGCATTCAAGGGCAGGGGCCATATCTCAAAAGTCTCTGTGGCTCCCAGGATGCCAAGCTTGGTGTCTGCCATAGCCTAGTTGTGACTGGATTTCTCTTCTCTGACTCTGTGGGGCTGTCCAGCCAATGGGTCTCCATCTCACTCATTCATCTGTCCATACTTTTATTCTCTTAAGAGCTATTAGGCACCTGCTAAGTGCCAGGTGCTGCAGAAACAAAGTGAAATAAGACCCACACTGTGTGCTCTCGGCACCCACCAGAGAGATTTAGGAGGAAATCACTGAGTCCATGTCCCATGACTGCCTGTCCTACTGGGAGCCCAGTAGAGAATCATCTGCGTCATGCTGGGAAGATTTCTTGGAGAAATTCTGAAGGCTGAAGGAGAATTCGTGAGGTGGAGGAGAGATTCGAAGGAGGAGCCCCTGGGACTTTAAGGGAGTGGCGGAGGGAGGCGGGAGGGGGAGCGGGCGGTGCTCACCTGTGTTTGAGAGACAGGCTGCCAGGAAAGCAGGGCTGGGAATCATAGGTGGTCCTCCAGGAGCGTGTGCTTTATCCTGGGGGAATGAGATGTCACCCAGGGCTTTTGGGCGTAGAGGTGACATTGGTTCTGATTTCAAGAGGCCAGTTTGGCAGCTGTGGAGCTGTGCAGACCAAGGCGGGTGGGGCAGGTGAGGGGGGCGGAGCCCAGGTGCTGGAGCAGGGCAGAGCAGGGGTGAGGTGAGGATGCGGGAGAGGGGAGCGAGGAGGGGAGACTGGGAGACTTGCTGGTGGCCTCAGCTTGCCTTGGCCCCTGGGACACGCTGGTTTTGATATGTGGCAGGGAGGGGCTCATGTCGGGCTTAGCTGCTTCAACCCCTCCCCCTGTTGGCAAAGGGAGGTCCGAGGTCACTGAGCTGTGCACCTGCATTCAGTCAGATACCCTAGGAGTGCTTGGAAGTCATCTGGCAACCACGAGGATGTCCCACCTCACTTCTCCTGCCTTCCCCATCTTGTTCATGCAGTGGGAAGTGGAACTGGGATGCGGTGCCTGGGGCCACCAGCTCTGTCTCCAGCCCACACAAGTCCTCTGGGTGGGTGCACACCCAAGGGCTGGACCTGTTCCAGGCAGAAGCTGAGAGTCCAGGACTGCACCCAGCGTGGAGCTCTGTTTCCCTAGTAGACTTGGGATCCCCCTGACCTCTGTGGTCCTTATTGATTAGGGTCCCCTGGGCCAAGGCAGGCACTGAAGTGGACTCCCCTACTGCCTGTTCTCAGGCCCATCCTGACCTGGTCATTCTGCTGAGTGGCTCCACTGAGGCCAGAGCCCAGGATGCTGTGTCCCAGTGCTTTTGTGGTGGCTTGTTACCCTGCCAGCTCCTGGGTCCTGAAGCCTATGTACTTCCTTGCTGAGAAGAGAAATCACATGGGAGATGGCACAGCTGGCCTCCATGGGGGCACAGTTCTCTGTCCATTGCACTGATGCTCTAATGCCAGGGTCTGAACAGTGCTTGGTACATTGCAGGTGCTCAGTAAATAAACATCTTTTGAATGAATGAATGGTGCTTTCCATTAAAAAAACTGCAGTGCAACCCGTGCCAGGAATGTCCCCGTCTTATCCTTTCTATGTGCCATCAAATTGAATTTCTAGTACAAAACAGTGGTGATTTCCCATCACAGCAAAGAGGACCTTCTAGATTCCCCTGGGGAGGTGCAGGAGGGGGGGAGGAATATTTAGGGGTCACTGAGCTAGGTGGGAGCAGTTTGTAGAACTTGCGCTCAAAGCTCTCTGAGCCGGGGGACAGTTTACACTCTGAAGCAGCTGCTGTCCTGCCACTCAGGTCCAGGAAGCCACAATAGCGGGTGGGGCTGTCCTTGAAGATTCATTTCCATGTGGGTGCCAGCTGCCTGGGGACAGACCAGGGCACAGCCAGGAAGCCAGGCTGAGTGCTGAGTCTGGGCTCCCAGCCTGCATGTCTGTCCCTTAGCCCCTAGGGCACACAGGAGCTGTATCTCCTGGCCTGTTCTCTCCTGGATGGGAGCTTGGACAGGGAAACCAGCTCCCTCCCTGTGTCCCTAGTCTCTGTTCCTCATCCTGGAGCCACCCTGGGCTCCCCCACCCACCACCTCTGTCTTGCTTTCCTCACTCTTCTGTTTTCTCCCCCATTCTTTTAAGATTGGTTCGGGAGAGTGGGCCTCGGGAGAAGACCCCTAGATCTTTGGGTATGTATTCTCTATGAGCACACCCTGGTTTTTAACCCTTTGTATTCCTGGGCTGGGTCGTGGAGTGGAGTTAGGCCAGAAGAGACCTCAGGGCCCTCATTTCCAAGCCCCTCATTTCATAGATGGGGAAGCTGAGTCACCTGTGGTCCCTTGCTGGAGGGTGACGGACGGTAGGCCTGGGCGAGGGGCTGGAGAAGCAGTGCACATTGGTGCCTGCTCTGCCTATGTTGATATACATCATAGTTGTACATCACTAGTTCATGATGGCCCAGATGAGAGGGATGGCTCTGTTACCAGTTGACAGATGAGGCTCAGTGACCTGGATGTCCTCCCTGGCCTTGGAGAGTGAAAAGCAGCCCCATCAGATTTGCACTGGGGACTCTTACTCTGTTTTAAGCAAGCAGAGGTGACCTCACTGGACAGAGCATGAAATCACATTCCACAAACCCTCAGTCGGGGCAGGTCCTGGCAGGTCTAAACGTCAGGGGAACAGGGCCAACCCCAGGATAGGAGTCAGGAGTGGGGCCGGACAGGAGGCTCTCAAGTGGGCATAGAGGGGAGGAGGGATCCTTTCTGGTCCTGATGATCTCACTCCGTGGAGAAGCAGGCCTTGGCTGTGGTGCAGGGGAAATGAGGCCACAGCCTCCTGCCTGGTGGCTGGGTGGTTGGGGCACCCTGATCCGGGGCTGCAGGTAGTGGGAGTTGGTGCCAGCTGATGTGCTGACTGGCAGGAGGGTGCCAGCTTCCTGGCAAGTCCCTGGCTGATCAGCTCAGCAGGTGGGTCAGTTGGCAGAGGGCAGGCTGTTGCCCAAGAGGCCCCCAGGTCAGGACACAGAGCCGGACCTGAGAGGTAGGCCTGGCAGTGAAGCCTTGGTGGCAGCTGCTTCTCCCCTGCTCCCTGACTGGGCTGCAGTGGGGTGAGCCCAGGCAGCTTGGGTGACACTCATGGCACCTCAAGTGTCCTTTAGGAGCCTCCTCTGAGATTGCTGGCATGGGGGTTTGGGCCAGGAGACCTTGTCATGAGGGCCTGGCTACCCAAAGCTTCTTAAGGTGTCCCTTAAGGGTGAAGGTGGGGAAGTGGTATACAAAGAGCAAAGTCCTTAGAGGGCTCCCTGACCGATGTGTATAACATGCCTAGCACATAATAGGGGCTCCCATGATATTTTCTGCAGCTGAGGGCTTCCTCAAATCTTGCAGCATTCCTGCAGACTTTGCCCTGGTCAGTTAGCTCTGTCACCACTCCCGCCCCCGTGTCCTCTGCCCTGTCTCTTACCTCTGGGCAGATGGAGGCTTTGAAGCCTCTCTTCCCCCTTCTCTCTGCCCCAAAGAGAGGGATCCTTATCAGAAGGTAGGAGGTGGGCAGAGGACCATAGGACGGGACCAAAAAGCTCTTCAGGAGTCCAAGGTTCATGATTCCCTTTCCAGCCTTGGGCAGCCCAAGATGGCGGCCCATCTGTGAAATAGGAGAATGGGACTAGTGGCAGTTCTCTGGCCCTTCCAGCTCTGCTGTGGTGGTATAAATGGTCAGCAGGCCTGTTTTACTTTTTCTTTTCCCAATCCTGTTTCCTGCCCAGCCCCCTTTCCATGTCTATATAAGAATAGGGCAAGCAATTCTTGCTGAACGAATGAATGAATGAGTGAATGAATAAAGGGGGATGATGCGGTCCTAGGCCCTGTGGCTCAACAGGGGAAACCTAACCTCCATTAGGGAAGTGTTGGACAGAAGCACTGAGGGTGGAGGGCTTGGGCAGTTAAGTGACCCCAGCCACAGGGTCGGGGAGAGTAGCTCAGGACCTGATTGTCTTCACCTCTCTCCCTATTCTTGACTCCTCAGAGCCCAAACCTTTGGCTCCACCCATCAGAGACAGGTCTGCCACCTCCTCCGAGAAGCCTGTCCTGGCTTCATCACAGTCTGCCCCTACGCTGACAGCCTTCTCTTTCAACCACGCCAAAGAAGAGGACCAGAAGGAGACCAGCACCAAGGTATCTGGGAGGCCAGAGGAAGATGAAGTCAGGATCAAAGTGGACCACTAGCTAAATCCCAGTATGTTTCTGAAATGCACAGCGTAGAGCTGGCCCGTGGGACATGGAGGAGAGCCAGGCAGAGCCGAGGCAGCTGTGTCAAACCCTTAAGGCCAGGACTGCGGATGGTCTGGGGGTGAGGGAGGAAGAGAAAGAAAAACTAGGACAGGGCTGGGGTGGGCACTGGGTGAAGTGAAGAGTACAGAGGGTTGCTAAGGGGCAGGTGGGGAGGAGGAAGGACAGAAGAAGGTCACACATGGTCGGAAGGAAGCAGGATGTGGGGGAGAGGACAGAGGGCTTAGGTGAACCAGGCTGGGTAATCTGACCTGCCAGGCTGGACAGCAACCGAGAGGCAGCTGACCAGAGGCTGTGGGGCCACGGTCTGACGAATACCCTGTACGTTGGAGGTGACCTTGAGGAGGTGGCTTCTCTTCCCTGGACAGGACTGATTTAGTAAAACTTGAAGAGGTGCTGGTAGGGGGCGCCTGTGTTCAGAGGTAAAATAGTTCAGCTCAGTAAACACGTCCAGGTGCCTATCCCATCCCCACCACGTGGGAGGCGGGGATGCCCTGCTGATAGTGACAAGGGCCAGGCCCTGCTCTAGTGAGGGCGACAGAACACGAAGGGTCCTAATCATTCCATGTAGAGATGACTTTGTCCTCCACTCGGCCTCGGCTTCCCACTGCACAGTCAGACCCCAGATCCCGGCATCACCAAATTTGCCACCCATCTTCCAGATCCCAAGTGTCCCATTGGCTCACCACTGTGTCTTTGTTCCCGCTCCATTCACCCAGCGCTCCAGCCCAGCATGGGTTCACCTTCTTGCATCAACAACATTCTCCCTGAAATTGGATCATCCCAGCCCCACGTTCACTCTCTGTCCTCTCTTCCATCTTCAGAAAACCCGACAAAACCAAAACAAAGCTATTACACCTCTCTTTTCCGGTTCTCTCCTGAGCTTACTCCAGTCCGACTTTAGTCCCCCCCTCCCCACAAAAAGGGTCACCAGTGACTGTCACCTTCCCAAATGCAGCCACATCTCAGTCCTGTCTATGTTGACCCAGCAGCAGCAGCTTTGGATTCAGCTGGCAGTGTGGTCCTCGTTAACGCTCCCTTTAGGGATGGAGGTGGGGTGGCTCTTCCTGGGTGCCGTGCCTCCATGAGAGCCAGCTCCTTCTTGGCCCTTCCTTGCTGGCTGCTCGTCACCTTCCCAACCTCTGGAGGCTGAGCCCTCCCGGGCTTGGACCGCTGGTTTATTTACATCACCCTCAGGACCTCCTCCAGTTCATGGCATTGAGTACCGTCTCTAAGTCGAGAACTCCCAAACGCCCCTCGCCAGCCCCACCTTCCCCTCACCTCCGTTCACATGTTCAGCTGCTACTCAACGTTTTCCCTTAGGTGTCTAATTATATTTTAAACCTACCATGCCTGAAGCTCAATGCCTGAATCCTCACCTCACAAAATCTCCTCTTTCTCTAATGTTCCTGCTCAGGGAATGGTGGTAACAGGCTACTCCAGCCTTCCAGGGCCTCAGGCCAAATGTCTCAGGCCCATCCGTGATTCCTCTCTCTGTCTCTTTCACCTCGCATCTCAAGTGTCAGCAAAATCAGGTCTGGTTTAAAAAATGCCCAGGGGCTGACGGTTCCACCATCCCCGCCCCCCCAGCCCTGGTCCAAGCCCCCACCTCATGCTCAGTGTTCACTTGCTCTGATCCGCTGGTGCCCACTCCACCTAATCTGGACTCTTCCCATGTAGCTCCATCCCTGGGATATAAAAGACAGAATGTTCTGGGTTGTGTAAGATAGCATCGTTGGAGGAGGCCGGGGGCAGCCTACACAGAGACTCTTGGTCCTACTTTTACAACTTCTTATGAGTCTCAAACTATCTCAAAACAAAAAAATTAAAAGAAATCACCCAGGGAGAAGCCAGTGCCCCCGAAGGAGGTCAGGTCATGCCACTCCTCTGCTTCAAATCTTAAATGGCCTCCTGTGTCCCTCTGAGGAAAACCCAAGTCCTCACTATGGACTGCAAGGCCTAGTGTGGTTTAGATCCTGCCACCTTCTGACCTGGTGTCCTGTCACTGCTGTGACTCAGAGGGCTGTGCCAGCGTCCCCCCACCCCACCCCTTGTAGCCACACTGGGCACACTCCAGCCTCAGGACCTTTGTATTTTAGAACATTTCTTTCCTAGAAATTTCTTTCCTTTTCTTTATTATGTCTCTGCTTGAATTTCACCTCTGGGGGTACCTCTGGGCCTCCTTATCTAAAGCAACAGTCACCATCACTTCTGTATCCTTCCGTTTTCTTTCCCCCCAGCATTTCGCTTGACATTAGAGACTCATGTGTTTCTTGTCCATCTCCTCATTTCACAAAACTCTTAGGGGACAAGGACTTTATCTTTTTGGCTCCTTCTTGGAACAATGATTGGCACATAGGAGGTGCTCATGCTTTTGAGGACTGAATGAATGAGGGTATAGAAAGTATAGCCGAGTCCCCAAGGCTAACAGAGTTTGCCTTGATCTTGTGCCAGATCCAAGTCACCATCTCCAAGTCTGCACAGGAAAAAATGCGGCTGAAGCAGATGAGAGAGATGGAGTTGTTCCGGAGGACAAAGGAGCCTGACAGGGAGAAGGAACTCGCTTCCCAGGCCCCCGGCTCGAGGAGAACCCTAGTGAAGGAAGGTACTGGGTGCATGGGATGGGAATCCTTCAGACTGGGGAAACTTCTTGGCCAATTCCTGGATTCTCAACTCTTGAGACTGGACAGGGCCTATGTCCACTCTCATAGTCTGCTTTTTTTAGGGACTGGAGATTGAACTCAGAGACACTGACCACTGAGCAACATCCTTAGCCCTATTTTGTATTTCATTTAGAGACAGGGTCTCACTGAGTTACTTAGCATCTTGCTTTTGCTGAGGCTGGCTTTGGACTTGCCATCCTCCTGCCTCAGCCTCTGGAGCTGCTGGGATCACAGGCGTGTGTCACCGTACCCAGCTCATAGTCTGTTAATGGGACCATTTCCAAGGGATCTTGGACCCCAGGGAAGGCAGGACCAGCTCAGTTCTAGGACTTTCTTTGTCTCCACAGGCCTCCTTCCCCTACGGGGCAGTGGGACCCTGTCTGTACCCACCAGGATGAACAGCCCACGCAGAAACAACGTTGGCATCATCTTGAGGAAGCGGGCCAACCGGTCCTCTCTGCCCAGCATCCCCATCAGCAAGCAGGAGCCCAGCTTTGCCCGCCATGCTTCAGGTGGGGCTCAGACCTCTGGCCGCGAGGCCCCAGGATGCTCTGGGGCATGAAAAGGGGATATGAGCTGCTCTGCCTGCCACCCGTAGGACTAGCAGGTAGCCCTTGTGTGAGGCGTCAGCTTGACAGGGAGAGGAAGAGTGTTTGGAACTCATAACCATCTGTGGACCAGGCAGGGGACCCAGAGATCACACCTGGTGTGACATGTCCTAGCAGAGTCATTAGCATACCAGATCAAAGATGCTATCGAATAGCAGCCAAGGAAGTAGAGGGAACTCCAGGAGGAGGAGGAGGAGGGGAGAGATCCCTGCCTGCTGTGTCACACTGCCAGGTGGGTCAGAGGATCCACAGGTCCCAGCAGGACACCTCAGGAAAGGCGCCAAGGGGCCAGGGGAGGCTCTGTCTCCATTCCATTTTGTGCATAAGCCATTCACATGAGCTTTCATTTGAAAAGATTACTTAAAGGTATTTCAAAATAAACAATTGGGTCCAGTTTATTTCAGTGGGATGTGGTGGACAGGGTTGGTGGACTAAAACAACATTTTAGTGCAATAAATTATATGAACTCACTTCCATTTTCCATTCAGCCTTTATGATCTGGGCACCGATCCCAGATGATGTCATGTGACAATCCCAGCCTCTATGATTGTGTCAAGTAGAAAGTTTAATTTGGGGCTAACCTTTGGTATCTCTCTTTTTTGATGAAGAGATCCTCCAGGCTCAGTCGGAGATGTCTGAAGCTGGCTCTAATTTTATAGAGAGGGTTTTAAAATGTCATTCTACTTTCATTATAAATATTCATATTCTATGACAAATAATATCAGTTTATCCATTATGGTAGTGACATGAAACTCCCTTTAAAATGAATTTACTTAGATTTGGAAAGAGGCTTGACTTGAAGAAAAATACAAAGCAAGAAAAAGTGTAGGTAATTAAATGATATGGCAAAAAGATCATGGTACTGGGAAATATTGATCTATCTAACTCAACCGACTCACTTTATAGATAGGGAAACTGAGAACCAGAGATACAAGGTCACCAAAGGTCCCTCAAGGTGACGGTGGCCCATAGAACTAAGACTTTGGCTAGTGACTCTTGACCCAGTATGGTCTGTTACCGCCTCTCATTATTTAAACTGGGTGTGGGTGGAGGAGTACGGTAGAAATAAGATCGTTAAGTAGGTAGGTTGGGTTGTTGGAGTTAAGAAAAAACCAACATTCTCCTCTTATATCCTCCCTAGGATATAATCTTCCTCTTCCTCCTTCCTCTTCCTCTCTCTCTTTCTTGATAGTCAACAGAGAATCACTTACATTTTACCCCGTTTTTTGGTTTGCCTGGAAATGATGGAATTTCAGGACTGTAAACTTGGCTATCCTCCTGATTTTCCTAATAAATCCAGTAAGACTCTAGCTTTTCTCGGGATACCAGGTAGGTTTAGGAGAGCTTGATTGTGTCTACTCAATTCCTCCCATTTTATATGAGCAAAAAAATGGAAACTCCTGAACTACAAGGCACTCTGTGGACATTATTGAAAAGCCGTCAGGGTAAGGGACTGGGCAGGACTAAAGTAGACGCAGACCCTAAGAGATTCGAGGCTGCAGTGGCTTCTGCCGGTGCCTTTTGTGTGTCTTAAAATCTAGGTGGATGCTAAATGCCACTGGAGAACGAGGTGGCAGCAGGTTTGGGTTGGCAGGAGGCCAGCTTGTGTCTTCTCCTGAATGGACCAGTGCTACTTGCAAGCTTCACAGACAGTGTTTAATTCAGGCCCAGGTTGACAGGGGAGGATAGGGAGGTTGGGTGTCTCACCTCCTACCTCCTAGAGGGTGATCTGAGGGCTGACACACTCTTTCGTGTGCCAATGGCAGAGAATCCAGGAAGGACATCTTTGTGTCTGGTTTTAAGTAAAGGGCTGCTTCTCCACTCAGATTTGCCCAGGACCCCCTGGATGTGCTGTAGAGAAGATCATCCCTGGGGGTGAGGAGAGCTAGCCGGGGAGAGAGGCCTGAGAGCAGAGCTCTGGGTTGGAGACTTTCTTCCCTGTCTCTGTGATGGTCTCTCAGGGCCTCCCATATTCCCACTGTGTGATGAGGGCATTGGGCTAGAAAGAGCGCCTCTGAAATTTCTTCCTGTTCTTGTGAGAATTTGTGATTCTGTCCATAAAGAAGGAGCGCATACAAAACACACTCTATTTTTGTTTGTTTTGGTACTGGGGATTGAAACTGGGATGCTCTACCATTGAACTACAGCCCCACTCCTTTAATTTTTTAAAACTTTTTTAAATAGGTTCTTTTTTAGTTATTCGTATTAGTAGAATCCATTTTGACATAATTATACAAGCATGGAATATGTCTTATTCTAATTCAGTCCTAGTACCTCTCCTTCCTCTTCCTTCCCCTGTGCCTGCTCCTGTATCGATCTTTCTGCCATTTTGAGACAGGGTCTTGATAAATTGCTGAGGCCGGACTTGAATGTGCAATCCTCCTGCCTCAGCCTCCTGAGTAGCTGGGATTGTAGGCGTGCAGCACCGCGATCAGCACATGCACGTGCTCTGGTTTCTAAATCACTTACTTCCCTGTCTGTTGTGGGCCACATCTGGACCCAGCATCTGGACCTTGTCTCTTCCAGGTCTTCTTACCTTTCTCTGCCTCCCTCCAGCCATCTGTCCATGGAGCACTTACCTACTCAGGCAGAGGATGATAGCAGGAGGGAAGGAGCAGAGGCTCCTGGTGGAAGTGAGAACCATGAAAGGGGCTCACTGAGAGACTTCCTGGGCCTCAGACCAACCCCAGGTAGGGCAGGACTGGAGGCGAGTCCTGGCTCCATGGGCATTGTCACATGACATCAAGCAGCACATCACAAGTCAGTGTGTCCACCATGGTCAGAGTGGCAATGGAGGAATGGAGAAAGTCAACAAAAGGCACAGTCAGATGGTCCCCTTTGGCTCCCTGGGGCGTAAGGCCTGGAGCTTGTTCTGACCATCACCAGTCCCTCCTGCATACACAGTGGACTCCGAGCTGAGGGCCATTGGCATGGTGAGGGTCAGGAGGAGCAGCCACTGGGGACATTTGCCCTCCTTCAGTCCTCCTGGGTGAAGCTTCTTCTTTCTTTTCTGTTCTGTGGGTGCAGCTAACTCCTTACCTGCCGTGCTCACTCTGGGGTCTCCTGAATGGGAGGACGAGGAGGACGAGATGGGTCTGAGAGCCTTCAAGGAGTTGAGGCCTTTCTCCAACCCAGAGCTGGGCTTGATGGACGCCCTCCAGTGCCTCAACAGCAGTGATTGGTGAGGAGACACTGTGTGTGTGTGCACAACCTTGCATCTATGTGGGTGTGTGAGTGTGTGTGTGAGTGTGTATGTGGTATCTCTAGCTTCCTGAGCCTGGATCCCCCCGGTTGACTCTGTGCACTGATCTGCAACACGCCAGGGTTAGGCCTGACAACTGTGACTTTGACTCCAGAAGGTGGGGACTGGGAAGGATCACAGCCCTTCATTTCCCTAACTCAAGTTTAATTTGCTCTGAGTCTTCCTCACCCTGTGCTGATGGGGCACAGTCTCTTAATCATGAGCAGAGTGATGGCTCAGAGTCCAGAACATTTATGGAAAGCCCTCAGGGTCTTCGGTCCTCACTCCAAGTACGTCCCTTTAGGTGTCTGCTTTTTGTCAAGGACCCAAATAGGTCTTGGTCTGGGCACAGATCCCAGCACTGCCAGAGCCGAGGGCCACCCAGGGCCCATACAATGGCTCACACTGAATGCCTAGGATTTCAGGCCTGGGTGACACTCCAGGAAGTGCTGCCTCTGAGACCCTGGAATCCCACCCTGCTCTGTGTGTGTGTGTGTGTGTGTGTGTCCCAGAGGTCCCTGGTCTGCAGAAGGAGCAGGGCTTCTTCCTCTTTATCTACTTGTGACAGTCCCGGCCTTGCTTCTCAGGCAGATGAAGGAGAAGGGCCTGGTGAGCGTCCAGCGCCTGGCGGCCTGTCACTCGGAGGTCCTGGCTGGGAGGCTGCACGATGTGTCCTTGGCAGTGACTGGGGAGGTGAGGCCTCCCGACAGACCATGAGCTTTGCCCCCTCCCTGCAGCTGCTCCCCCTTCCCTGGTGCAGCTGCTAAGGTGAGTTTCCAGCAGCCACGGAGGGGCCCATGGCTCCCTGGAACATGGGCATCTCTACTACGTCTCAGCCTTCAGCCACTGAGGTAGGAGGAGTCACCATTCTTTTCTTTCTTTTTTGGTAGCAGTGATCAACCCCAGGGGTGTTTAACCACTAAGCCACGTCCCCAGTCCTTTTATTTTTTATTTTGGGACAGGGTCTCACTGAGTTGCTTAGGGCTTCACTAAGTGGTTGAGGCTGGCCTTGAACTTGTGATCCTCCTGCCTCAGCCTTCTGAATCTCTGAGATTACAGGCATGGGCCACTGCACCTGGCTAGCCATGCATACTTCAGATTAGAGAGCAGAGACCCAAGTGGCACATTTGGAATCCAGTGTGTCCATTTGCACACAAACTGCCTGAGGAGGGATGGCATGCTCTGGGCCAGATCCCCAACTTCAGGACAGCTGTAGCATTTCCCAAGGCCTGTCTGAGGCTGGGACTCAGCCTGGGTTGGGCCCAGAGAGGCAGTCAGAGGCACTTGATCCATGTGGAGGCCTTGCAGACAGATTGCTTCAGTGGGGGAAGGGATATGACTACAGAAGATGTTATGTTGACAAGCAGCCTGGGCAGGGTTGTGGCTCTGTGCTTTCCTGTATGTGACCTAGGGTCTGTTTCTTCGCTACAAAATGAGTGTCATATACCTACTTCTCACAGTAGTTGTGAAGATCAAATTGGATATTTTTTTTTTATAAATGTGCCCTGAAGACTAAGTGTTGTGCAAATTTCAGATGATAATGATAATGGTGGAATTAACAATTATGATGACCACAAAATGGGACTGTTTTGCCCAGAGAGGCTGCAGGGTGTTAATTTCTAGCGTGGTGAGGGGTGAGGAGGGGGCGTGGTGAGGGGTGAGAAGGGGGCTTGGGGTGGGGGAAGGGCTGGTTCACTTCCCATCCTCGCTGTGTTCCAGAGCCCTAGGCAGGGTCTGGCAGTCCTAGAGGCCCCTTCTCTCTCTCTCTCCCAGGTCTCCAACCTCCGCTCCAAGGTGTCCCGCCTGGCCATCAGCACCCTGGGTGACCTTTTCCGGGCTTTAAAGAAGAACATGGACCAAGAGACTGAGGAGATCACCCGCTGCCTGCTCCAGAAGATGGGGAACACCAGCGAGTTCATCCAGCGGGCAGCCAACCAGGCCCTGGGTGCCATGGTGGAGAACGTGACCCCTGCCCGTGCCCTTGTGGCCCTCACCTCAGCAGGCATTTAGTATGTGGCTGCCTGTTGTCTAGAAGGGCCAGGGAGGCAGGGGAGAGGCTCTAAGATGTGAGAGAAGGAAGAACGGGACAGAGAAGGAAGGAGGCAGAAAAGTGGGGCTGCGAGGGTCAGCGTGCCCAAGGTGCCCACCTCAGGCTCTGAAGCTGGGGAGGGAGACCTGGCTTCTCAGTGGGCTTTTCCCCACCCTTTCTGGACCAGGCTGGGGATTCTGGAAGAGGAGGGGTGCTGTTGTTCTGCTCCAAGACTGGGGAGCACGGTGGCCATGGTAACGCCTCAGGAGGCACGGTCACAGAGCGGCCTGGGCTGTGCCCCAGGGGCTCCTGCCCTCCCGGGGGCATTCTGCTTCTGTCTGATGAAATCTGGGCCAGTGAGGAGAGGAAGGCACAAATGGCCGTCTCCCGGGGAGGGAGGGGCTGCAGTTGGAGCCAGATTTGCTTTTCCCTTAAGAACAAAAAGCAAAACCAAAGGCATTTCCCGGGCCCTCTCTCCCACAGGGCGAAATGCCCCTCCACCCCAATAAGTCCACCAGCATGGGCCTCTCAGGGGACATTAGGGCCTGCCGCCGCAGCCCGCACACCTTTGCATGTCGCCAAGGGTGAGGCGCTCCTGAGCCACGTCGCCTGGGTTCCATTCTGGATTGTTCCTCACCTCTCCAGGCCTCCTGATGTGTTTCTCTTGTCAGTTCAGATTCCACCTGTCACAGCGACCAAACACCCAGTTCAGTTCAACAGACATGCACTAGGCTTCTGCGGTGTCAGGGTGTGCTGGGGGCCTGTGAGGTTGCGTCGGAGAGGGGACCCTGTTCTCTGTTCCCAGGGAGCTGGACGCCTCACCGGGCTGGGGGCAAGGGCACACCTCAGAGGGAACATGTCAGTGTGCCTGTGAGGCTGGGAAGGAAGAGGAGACACTGACTGGGATTTTTCTAGGTGGAGGAAAATGGGGTGGCGCATGTAGATCAAAGGAGGAGCATGCACTTGGGCAGGGCCCGAGAGCACCGAGCACGGGGCGTTTGGGGAGCATCGTGGCTTCAGGCTTGTCCCTTCACTTGTCCCTTCCTCACAGTTGTTGTCATTGTAGCCCTGTCATCAGAACTGATGGCTCTGTCCTCCAGGATTCCCCAGCCGTGTGTGGGAGCCACGGTGGGCTGGCCTGAACACGGGTCTACAGTCTATGCTTGTAGATCCATATTTTCCAGCTGGGACCCCCACATCCCCATCCTGGGACTCTCCACGTGGCTGTGCTTGTTTCCTTTCAGCCACCGGAACCCATTAGTCCGGAAATGCACCGCTGAGCACCTCTCAGTCGTCCTGGAGCAAATTGGTGCAGAGAAACTTCTCTCAGGCCCGAGGGACAGCACTGACATGCTGGTGCACAACCTGGTGAGGCTGGCTCAGGACTCCAACCAGGACACCAGGTAGAGCAGGGCTGGGGCCTGGGGCAGACAAGGCCACCAGCCAGCCCCAGGGGCCCTGGCCAGAGTTCAGCTTCCCTGGGGTCATTCAGGGGGACCGTCAGGTAGACTGAAGCTGATGTTCCTATTGTTCCCCCTCCCTCCCACGTCACAGACAAGTCTGTTCAAGGAGCCTTCGGTGCCCCCTGCCTCCACGCTGTCCTCTTCCTTCCTCTCTCTACTCCTTGCCAAGTTGCTCCTATCTCCACCCACCCCGGCTCTGTTCTCTGCAAGACTGTTCAGTCATTTTGCCAAGCGTTATCTGCGGAGCACTCTTCATCCTTGTGACACAGCATTGAATTGGAAAAACCAAGCCCCTGTTGTCTTACTCTTAGTTAAAGGAGACAGATAGTAAAAGGATAAATATTAGATCACTTTAGACACAGATAAAGGATGCAAAGGTAAAAACAAACAAGAAGACAGAGCAGAGAATGGGCTGGGAGCGAGTTTAGACTGAGGTTTGGGGAGATGTGAGAACTGACCAGCTGGATGGAGTCAGCCTTTTTGAGAATGTGGGAACATGATCCAGGCAGAAGAGATGGTACGAAGGCCTCTGGATTGGAACTGCCTGGTGTTCAGGGACCAGGATGGGCAGCCTGGGTGGAGCACCAGGAGTCAGGGGTGTAGCGGACCGGTGCCCAGATCATGGAGGGCCTCAGAGGCCAAGGTCAGGGTTGGAATTTAGAGTTGCATAAAGGGAGGTCACAGGAGGATTTTTTTGGTGGGAATGTGAGGACGTCTTAGAGGGTTTTAAGCAGGCCAGTGGTGGGATGAGTTTGCACCCAGGGCGCGTGTACACTCCAGCGGCCCTGCCCAGCTGGGGCTCCCAGCATGCTGCTCCCTGAGCCTCCCTTCTGTCAGCCGAGGTATCTGCCTCTTTGTAGCCCATCTAACAAGTGACAATATTTGGATTTCTAATTTTTATCAATCCCATGGATGAAGGTGACAGCTCATTGTTGTTTCTGAGTATTTTTATCCTGGTGACTAGTGAGTTTGAGTGTTTCTTTTTTTCTTTCTTTCTTTTTTTTTAACATACTTGCTAGCTGTTGGATTAGAAATATCTCTTTCTGGCTGCTCACTGGAGGACTGACAGTTAAGGAGAGGAGCCAAGATGCAGGGTAGACAGCACACGATGGCTACATATGGTCTGGACAAGGGGGACTGGAGGCTGGGCTAGGATTGTGGGTGACTTTGATACATTTTGAAGGCAGAGCCAACAGGACATAGATGAGTGGTGAGGGTTGCGGGGATACATAAATCAAAGATGCCTCTCAGGTTTTTAGACAGAACAACTGGGTGAATGAGAAGAATATTGGTGAAAAGGAAGGTTTGGGATTGTTTGTTTGTTTCTCCTTGTTGGTAGGTGATGGAAATGGAGGCCTAATCTCTCTCTGGGTCTAACATTCTTTCCCTTCTGACCTCCCTTTTATACTGGATGACCCTCCCTGACTTTCATTTTCCATTTTGGAAACCCCATGCCTCCTGGTTTCTGGTCACTGGACTTCCTGGTTCTCCTTTCCCCCAGGGCCATTTCTCCACCCTGCCTGCCCTCTGCATGGAGGTGACTGTGGAGTCTACTCCTTCATTGTCCTCCTCTTCTGGTTCTCACTTCTCATGACTGCAGCCACCAGCAGAATCTGGCGCTGCCCTGTCTCCCTCCAGACCAGACCCTTTTTGGAGTGTCAGTCTCATATCTCTGATACCTCTAGGGAACCTGCCACTGGATGTCCCAGTACCATCTTCAGTGCAGAGTGTCCCCAAAGGAGCTCATTGCCATCTCCCGAAGCCTGATTCTTTGGCTGTGTTTTCTTCACGGTTCATAGTGACCATTACTTGCCAAGTCACACAGGATGCAAAATAGGGATTCCCATACTTCATTGAACCCAAGACTCACATTTCCCCCACTTGGTAAGATCTTTGAAATTGGCTTGTGTCTTACAATCAGAGACCTCTCAGTTGCTGTTGTAAACCAAGTGATTACAACTTGGTTTTTATTATTTGCACATTTGCAAACTTTGGCATTCAAGTTTGCATTGTAGGAACCTTTCCTTGTCAGTCTTTTGATTTATTTACAGAAATCATTTTGGGTGCTCTGCAGAAAATTGTTGAGTTTAATTACTGTTGAAAATGTCTTAGAAATATTATACTAGTATTTGGCATTGAATTGAAAAATTATTCTGTACAAGACGACATGGAGACAAGCAATGGGGCATCCATCAGACATCGGCGAAGCAATCATTCACTGTTGAAGAAATGGCCAATATTTCACATTTTCTTACAGAGAAACCACCGAGGACTTTACCTGACCCAAGGAAGGAAAATGCTCACCAGTAATGTTACCTTCTTTTTCCGAGGCAGCCTTCACTTGTGGCACAGCATCACTGAAGATAGTGGAAATTGCCAGCATTTTATTTTTCTGTTTTTCCTTAGTGGAAAATAAAGTAATGGTGCATTTTGCAATCAATGGAGTCTTAGGTTGGGTGAAATATAATAATTCTAGATGCTTCCTGCTATCAAATCCTGTTATTCCAACCCCCTAGCAGCTCTTGAATCTGACTGCCCCTTCTTATCCCCACTCTGCTGCCTTATTTCAGGTCTTCATCTCGTGCCTGGGCCCTGATGATAGCCTCCTAATGGTCTACTGGCCCCCAGGCTTGTCTCTACCAATCACCCCTCACATTGCTGCTGGAGACGGTGTGACTAATGCACAAAGCTGGTCATTCTTCAGCTTCTTGTCGCCAGCAGCTAAACTCCTTCATGTCTCCTTAAACAGGGCCCTGTCTTCTTGTCGACCTGTCTCTTCCCGTGTCCAGTCCCTGCTCACTCTTCCTCAATCTGATCTCCTGCTGATATGTCAAATGTGCTATGGACCCTGGATGGCCCTTCTCCTCCTGCTTATTCCCTAGTCCCACCCCCACTTGTGAACTCCCACTCATCCTTTGAGTCCCAACCCCAGGGTCAGCTCTTCTCTGAAGCCCTCCTTTATTTCCTGCCCCAACCACCACCATTCACCAGGTAGAGCCGACCACTCCCTTCCATACTGTCTTCCTTCAGACTCGTAAATGTACCAGACTAGAAAAAAATTAAGTATATTTTTTTGTATAGAATTCAACAGAATATTGGATAGCCATTTAAAAGGATGCTGATAAAGAGTTTTAAATAACACGGAAAGATAATGGATGATAAAGTGAAAAATCTAGATGCCAGGCGTACCTGTACTCTGGTATCAAATGTATTTGTGTAGAAAAAATATTAATATGTAAAAATGTCATAGTGATTTTTCTCTTGGTGATGGCATTAAGGATGATGTTTGTTCTTTTATGAATCTAATTTTTAAGTGGGTAGGAATTGCTTTCCTAATGAGGAGAAGTATTAAGAACTCTCCTCCCATAATTGGGAAATTGCGAAGCCCAGGTCTTATGCCCTTCTGTCGCTGTCGCTTAGCTTGCTCTTTCTGCTATGGCAGGTTTTATGGCCGGAAGATGGTGAATATCTTGATGGCCAATGCTAAGTTTGATGCATTTCTGAAGCAGTCCCTCCCATCACATGACTTGCGGAAAGTCATGGCGGCCATCAAGCAGCGGGTGAGTCGGTGGAGTGTGACTCCGAGTCTTTGGGGACAGAGCGGAGCCTGGTGGCCCTCAGTGGGTCCGGGGAGTAGAGAGTGGATTCCAGAGCTTCACTTTCATTCGTTGCCCCTGACAGGTGGGATAAATGTGGCTTCTGCCCCTGTGCTCATTCCTAGTTCTGCTCCTCCCTGCCTAAAACTTCCTTGAACTCCCTGGGCCTACACATCTTCATCTGCTAAGGGGGGATCTTGTCTCTGTCCTGCAACCTCCAGGGCTCTGGAAAGCTCAGCTGTGGCCTCTGGAGCTCTCCCAGGCAGAAGGGGTGATCCCTCATGTTGTAGTCTATACCAGACTGGTGGGCAGTTCCCTAGAGGGCAGCTTCTTTTAGCTCATGTTTGGTGTGTCTTTTTTTCAAGGGGACAGAAGATAATCATGAACTTCCATCTGCCAAAGGTCGCAAGGTGTTGAGGAGTCTGGTGGCATATGAGAACGGCCTACCCACCGAGGACGGGTATGGCTGCTCTTGTCTCTCTGGGGTTTCATGTTCAAAACTGCCAACAGAAGCATCTTGCTTGCCCATGGTCCGGGGTTGCTCTGGGGTAGAGGTGTGGATCTGGTGTACAGCTGAGACCTAATTGGGTCTGCAGTACAAATGGATAGTTTCAAAAGAAGTGTTTCTCCACCCACATCTTGGGCACACCAAATGGAAGCTGGTTTCTGCAGGCTTGGCCAAGGGAGTGCCCTTCTGCAAGTGCAGGTGGGGCTTGTTGGTCCGGCCCTGTGTGAGGTCAGCTTCTCTTCATTCACTTAGATCAGCAAATCCTTTGGGCACCAGATGTGAATGCGCAAGTAGGGCATGGCCAGGGCCTGGGGGGGGGGGGCTGGATTAGTTCAGAGACACAGCAGGCCAGAAAGCCTGGGCTGAGGGGTTGGAGGGTGGATCCTGGGAGCAATTAGAAACCAAGCAGGAATCCCATGGTCATTCTCTAAAATTTAGCCATTCTGCCATGTCTTGGGAGGATGCCATCTGAACTCAGCAGGACCTCAGAAGAAGGCTCACCCCCTCTTCAGTAGCAGCCTCCCGCTTTCTCACACTCAGCCAGGAGCTCCAATTCCAGCCTTCTTCCCTGCTGTGCCTTTGTTTGGGTTTTGCAGTCTTCACCTGGACCATGCCTATTGGCCTAACAGGCTCAGCTCACTTGTTGTCTTCTCTCAGATGCTCTCTGACACTCTGTACTCTCCTCACCCCATCCTCAGGGTGGACAGCTGCCCTTCTCCTTTATAACTGTCTTCTATTGGTCAATGACCGCCCTAAGGCAAACACTGTGCTTCTGGTCGTTCTAGTGCTCAGCACAGCTCTTAGCACTAAGTAGGCCAGAGTGTGAGGAGTAGGAATGAATGACAGATTGGATGATGCGGAGTCCTTTTGGCTGGGACCTGGGTATAGGGCATGACTCAGTGACCCTGACTTTGAATGTGAGGTGGCAGTTTTCTACTGAGCTGCTCTTGTGCTGATTCAATTAGGCCATGGGGCTCAGATGGGCATGTGATCCAAATGTCAGGGAACAGAGCTTTATAACATTTCCCCAGTTACTAGAGGAATGAGAGCAGACCCTGGCCAGCAGGTGCAGGATCCAGCCACCAGGTAGAAGGTGGGTCCTGATGACCTTAAAGACCTTTCTCCAGTCTTGGGTTAAATGTGAATCAGTTGGAGCTCAGTAGTTGAGCACTAGAATGTGTGAGCCTCTGGGTCCAGCACCACAAAAGAAAAAAAGAAGAAGAAAAGAAATGGGTACCAGTCATCTTCTCGTGAACATTTACCCGCCACTCCAGCCTTCCCCGCCAATTTTGCACATGTCTTCTGAAAGGAGGGGGAAAAGGCAGGAAGAGAGAGCTCTGCCTCTGGCAAGAGGATGGGGCCCTAGGCAACCACATCATTGTCCCCTGGGGAAGAGACTTTCAGAGTTCTCAATGCCAGTGTCCCCAAGCGGTGGGTAGAGGAGAAGCTTGGGGTGGACCAAGCTGCAGGTGTTCATCCAGTGGGATGGCATGTGGTACAAGATGTATGTTCATCCCTCCTTCTGCCTAGGCTTGGCTCCAATGGCCCACGGCGGGTGGGGTTGCGCTCCTCGGCGTGGGGAGGTGCGGAGGCAGAGGAGCAGCTGCGGGAGCTGGTGAGGCTACTGGAGGCCAAGGAGTACCAGTCGCGGATGGATGGTGTGGGGCGGCTCCTTGAGCACTGCAAGACCAAGCCAGAGCTCATTATTGCCAACCTGGTCCAGGTGAGCACTGCCCACCCTGCCCTCTGGCCTCTCTCTCTTTTGTGGGTGCAATTTCAATTTGGAAAACTCTGAACCAGGGTTGGACATTGTGCCATACCTCTCAGGGTGGAAGGGGCCTGCTTTCCAGTTGGTCTTGTAATGCCAAATGGGGACCTGAGGGGTTGACCACACCTTTGAAATGCTCAGAGGTAACTTGGGTGTCTCATCTGTCTGACAGATTAATAATGAGGAAGGTAGGAAGTACAGGTAGAGGGCACCTTGGGGGAGGTCTTGGATTGCTTTTGGTTAATTATTTCCATAATGTATGGAGGCAGAGCCTGTGGTTGGACCATGACGGATGGAGAGGTGGATTAGGGGTAGGTATAGCCTTTCACAGGTGGAACACCAGGGTGAATATCTGCTTCTTCCTGGAGCAGAATTGCTGGCAGTCACTCCTGAGGCAGAGTAGGGGCAGGCGGGGTCAGCAGACTTGGTGTCCATCCAGGTTACTCACTAGCTGTGTAATCTGAAGCACAGCATTTAATCCCTTGGAGCCTCAGTTGTTGTTTATGAGAAAGGGGGATAACACGTACCTGTGGTTGTCAAGGTCATTCAGAGGAAGAGCCCGGAGGACCTCCATGATGTAAAGTTGGCAAGCAAGGAGTGCCCAGAGCATGTTAGTTCCTCCTTCTTGCCCATCTTCCTCTTGAGGAGATGAGCTCTCCACAATTGGGAATGCTCTGGAAAGGCTGGAAGACCCCTTTCGAGGATGCTGGGGAAGTCTTGGCCAAGGGCAGTTGGTCAGGCTAGGTGAACTCCAGGGTCCCTGGCTCCATGGGACTCCCTCTCAGCTTGAGCTCCCACAGGCTCTTGGCTTTTGTTCCCTCAATAGGTCTTTGATGCGTTCACCCCAAGGCTTCAGGATTCCAACAAGAAAGTGAACCAGTGGGCCTTGGAGTCCCTTGCCAAGATGATCCCCCTCCTCAAACACAGCGTGCATCCCATGCTGCTCTCCCTCATCACGGCGACTGCAGACAATCTCAACTCAAAGAACTCGGGGATCTGCACCGCTGCGGCTGCTGTGCTGGATGCAATGATGGAGAGCCTGGGTGAGTGTCCTGCTTGGGCTGTGGGGCTCTGACTCCCGAGTCACCACATGCACATTCTTGCTTGGGAATCATCATGGTGGTGAATGGCCCTGGTTGGTTCTCAGGCCAAGAGCCTCCCCAGAGGCTCTGCAGGCCAGGTGTCAGCAGGGGCGCTGAGGCTCTGTCTGGAGCCTTCTCCATGTCCTATCCACCCAGGTGCCAGATGGTTAGAGGTGGAGGAGATGTGGAGATGACTTGGTCTAGCCTCCTCATAGCCACACAAAGGAAATGGCTCCCCCAGGGCCACATAGCACCACGGCTGCTGAGGGCTGGACAAGGCTCGGCTGGGGAGGGTGTGGTGATGGGCAGAGAGGGAGGTTGAGGGGATTGGAATTTGGGTGGAATTTTTGGTCCAAGTCTTTTTCCCCTCTCATGGGTTATTAGAAGGTGGTATCTGGTGTATCCAGTATATAGATGGAAGTGCAAATTTAAAACTTCAGGTGTGCCGAGGAAGTAGGACCCGAGTAGACTTATGTCCAAGCCAGAGAGTAGTGAGTTTTCACAAACAAGTCTCCCTCGGTGCGAGGAAGCTTCTGATCTGAAAATCGCCTTTGTCGGCCTTGTTGCTCTGCGTCCTAACCAGCACAGGGCCATGTTTCGCCTTGGCATTCACTGAACAGCCCACCAGGAGGCTGGAAATGCCTGGCACATTTGTCCCTTCCTGCTCTCCGTGCCCTGGCTGGAGCCCAGCTCCTGGGGCTGGGATAGCAGCTGTGTCCTTGACTGGAACCACCAGGAGGAGTTTCAGTTACAAATCAAAGGCCTAGTGAAGCCCTTCTCTATCTCTTGAGTTCATAAATATTGTCAATTTCCACATTTCATCTCAGAGGGAATTTATGATTTGCTGAGTTTGTTGCTGTAGAACAAACAATATAAATCCAGCTCTAAATTATGGTTTGTTCTCAGCACTGCTCTGGGAAAGTGAGATTGCCGTTGCCAATAACCTAGCTCTTGGTAAATCACCATGGGCCCTGGATTTATTGGGATAACCTGCACCAAGCGGAATGCACTTTAGCTATTTGAAGAATATGACACCTGAATCATGGGAGAGGAGTTTTAACTCTTCCTCCCTCATGTGTTTCAGTGTCAGCTGTTTGCCCATGGGTCAGTCCCCTTGAGCACAGTGGAGTCTGGAGCTTTAGTTAGTAGAATATGGGGTCTCCTATGGTGATAAGACTCAGGTCCCCTTTACTCAGGGTCCTGTTTTCTACCCACCTGGATTGGGCACCCTGGAAAGTGGGGAGCCTGGAGATGGCCTGTGTGTATCAGTTCATTTTCTGTTGCTATAACAAAATAGCTGAGGCTTTTATAAAGAAAAGAGGTTCGTTTAGCTCACAGTTCTGGAAGTTCAAGAGGATAGTATCAGCTTCTACTCATCTCTAGTGAGGGTCTCATGGAGGATGGGTGGATGGCATCACAGTAGTAAGAATGCATACAAAAGAGATTATATGGTGAGACAAGAAAACAGAGATGGGGGCTGGGGAGAACCAATCCTGTTCTTTTTGTGACAACCCACTCTCATGGGATCTAACTTCTGAGGGGCAATGCCCTTAGTGACCAAACTATTGTCCACTGGGCCCCACTTCTTTTTTTTTTAATATTTATTTTTTAGTTTTCGGCGGACACAACATCTTTGTATGTGGTGCTGAGGATCGAACCTGGGCCGCGCGCATGCCAGGCGAGCGCGCTACGGCTTGAGCCACATCCCCAGCCCGGCCCCACTTCTTAAAGGTTCTGCAACCTCCCAACATTTCCACACTGAGAGCCAAGTTTCCAAAACATAAACTTTGAGGGGACAAACTATATCCAAATCAGAGCAGTCTGCTTTGTGTTCTGACCACACCTTGAGGCAGAGTTGCCACTACCAGGAAGATGCCTGCGGTTTCCCCTTCCTTCTGGGACAGGGTCTCCTTGGATGTGACTGACAGTTCTCCTTCTGGCCATCAGCTAGAGGCTTCAGCCTGGGCAGGGTGGAGGCAGGCGTGAGGGGGCTGACTTCCTCTCTAATCCTCAGATCAGTGCTCCGGCTGGCATGGAATGGTGTTGGCCTCAAAGGGCTGAATGAGCTAATAAATTCCTGGCCAGGGCTCCTGTGGATCCTCTGGAGTGAAGTCCCCTGCTTGGCTCTGGGCGACTTGGGGTGGAGTGATAATGAGCTATCTGGGTCAGAAGGCTCTGCTGGGCTCCGCATCCTTTCTGTCCAACCAGAAATGTTGGTTTTGAAAGTGTTCTTCACCATCTGTCGAGCTGATTTCTGTGTGCACGTGGGCCAGAGCCTGAGGGGTTCAGGTGAGCAACAGGGAGAGTTCATCACTGCCAGCGAGGACCCAGGGTAGAATCAAACTGTCGTCTCCAGGAATGGCTCTCATCTGCTGGAGTGGTCTGAGCCTGGCTCAAAGAGGGAAGGATGGATTCAAGGACCTAAGCTTCCCATTACCCAGGGGGTTGGGTGGTAGCAGCAGAGACCCAGGCAGGTGGGGACAGAAGAGAAGGGGCGGATGTCTTCCTCATTCGCCCCAGCAGAGCCTGGGGGTTCTAGGGGTTCTTAGGGACCCCTCCGGGAGGCAGCTTGGAGCCCTCTGATGGAGGCGTTTTCTCCAAGCTTGCTTCTTCATGCCCTCCCAGGGATCCTAGAGTCCAGACTAGAGACGGACCATGAGATGCCATGATGTTAAAGTGTGAAAAGTCACAAAGCAACAGCTCTGCTAATTACAGGGCCATGGGGATCCAGAACATGAGGTTCTGGGCCATCTTCTGACATTAAGAAAATAGAGATGGCATAACCAGATGGGCAGGTGGACCTTTTTCCAGACCTCTTAAGATCCCTCTGGATCCTGGAGTTCCTGATGAAGAGGACTCATGAGCCAAAGTTGTCTCTCATAGCTCCTTGGTTTTCCTGAGTGTGGGTGGGGTTGAGGGATGTGTTGGTGGACAGAGCAGGTGGGGATTTCTGCCCCTGTCTTTCTGAGGGGCACTGAGGGAGGAGACACATTGGACAGCTTTTCCCTGACCCTGACCTCTGCCATTTGTCTTTGTCCTGGGGCCTCTCAGGTCTTGAGGCTCTGCGGCACCTTTCTTACTCAGCACCAAAATCTTTGGATTTCTGGGGAGTTCTTCTGGGGATTAAGGATGTTCTTGAGCAGACTGGCCCTGTCTTTGGACTCAGTTACTGGGTTAGTTACGGAAGAAACTTCACTAATCAAAACCTCAGGCTGCCAGTGGCTCAGCCTTTCGCAGATGACCTTTGCATTCAGGTTTCTCAGAGCCCAGAGGAGCTCTCTTAAATTAGCCCAACTCCCGGCCAGGGCTGGAGAGAGCAGATAAGCCGGAATAGGGAAGGCTTCAGACCTACTTTCCCTACTTCGCTCTCCCGATTTTAAGCTTATTACCTTATATAAATCATATGACCAGCACTGTATTATTAATGGAATTAAAAAATTCATCCATGATGCCTCTCCATCATAGCAACTGCCAAAAAATAGACCTATCCTCTCTTTCTTGTCTACCTGTGTAAGTTTCCCTAATTACACATCATAATGTAAAGATAATTGTTAATGCTTTTGGTTAGCACTACCCAGTTTCCCCATGCCTTTATATATAGTCTGTCTAGTTAACTTGAAAATATAAAGCTTGCCTTCACGTGGTAAGAGTGTTATTTATTAATTACAGAGAAAATGGGGAAAAAAAGCATTTGAAAGGGAAAAAAAAAAGAAAGCAATTCACTTAGAGTTAGTGTCAATTCCTAAAAGAAACCATTATTAGTATTTGGTGCTTTTCATTTTCGATGTTTTTCTGTGCATATTTGCAAACTTGCATATCCATTTGAATTTGCATCCTGCTTTAAACAAATCAGAGCATGAAAATTTGCATATGATTACACTTTGGAGTCCCTTTTAGCAGCTCCGTCTTGTGACGGTGCCATAGCTGGCTTGGGTGGATCATTCCAAGTTTTTTTCCTGAGATAAACACACCTGGTTTGGGCAGCTCTGGAGAACTGTGGCATTCCTTTACTGAGTTTCATGTTTATTTCAGTTTGATTCCAGCTTCTTTTCACTGCCAGTGTATACATTGCCATTTTTAAAAAAACACCTTTCTTTCTTTTTCCCTTTGGTATTGGGGACTGAATCCAGGGAAGCTTTGCCACTGAGCTATATCCCCATTCCTTTTTATTTTTATTTTGAGGTGGGGTTTTGCTAAGTTGAGACTGGCCTCAAACTTGCAACCTTCCTGCCTCAGCCCCCTGAGTTGCTGGGATTACAGGTATGTGCCCACTTGCTCAGCTTGTATTTTCTTACGAGATCTTCTCTGGCTTCCAAGCATCCTCAGGATGATGTAGCCTGGTGGCCTCAGAGTTTGACTGAATGGAACAGATGTGAGGCCTCTAGACCTTTACCACATTGTAAAGGAGTGATCCTGAGCCCTGGGAGGACAGGGTCTTTAGCCTCTGAGCCAATGGCTATTTTCTCCCCATTGTAGCTTTTAAAATATTCTCTTTGTTGCAGGGTCAGTGTTGGCTTCCTTGTGAGGCAGAAGAGTCTAAGGACACTCGGGCTAGGCTAATGTAGCATCAATTTTAAACTTTCAAGAGTTAGATTCTAGCCTCTTAATTGATTTCTCTACCCTGAAGGTTGCTTGGCTTTCAGAGGATTTTAGAGTAATAAACATAATAGTAAGAACAATAGCTGAAGCTTATGTAGTAGTTAGGATTAGGGTTAGTGTTAGAGTTATATGCTCTAGGCAAGGTCTCATTTAATCCTTGTAACAGAAAGGTACTAGGATCATCCCTATTTTATAGAGGGGCAAACTGAGGCACAGAGAGAATAAGTGGCTTGTCCAATGTTACACAGCAAAATATGGAAAACCCAGGATTTAAACTTGGGCGATCAGTACCCAGAGCCCATACCTTTTTCCCACCGTGCTTTATGGCCTCTTATTAAACCTGGGCATGACCCAAAAGGTGAGCCTTTGTTATGAAAGTGACCAGAGAAAGATAGAGCAACTGCTGTGGCATGGTGCTCTACTGTTTCAGCATTGCCCTGTACTCTGCAAGCATTTATCAAGCACCTATTGTGTGCTAGGTGCCTGGGAGCATGGTCTGGTACAGATGTCTGCTGGCTGTGCACGTTCAAGCACCCTCTAAGTGCATGTCTTTCTAGACCTGGGAGGCCATGTCAGAGGCCAGGGGCTAGACCGAGCATTGTAGGAGGTGGATGCACAGGGAGAAGTCCTGCCTCTTCAAATGTGAACTTGGTCAATGATGAGGGCAGGTGGAACAAATGGAAGCACCTGGAGGCAATAGTACAGTTGGTGATGACATAAAGCCTATTACACAATCACGACTTTACCAAGACACCCTGCGACCACTTCTTACTAACTGAAATATTCTAGAAATTGGCATCTTTTTCTCTTCTAGGACAAATTATTTTAAAGACTCTTTGTTGCCTTGTGGATGGAGCTTTGGCAAACAGCAGAGAAGCACCTGTGAACACCTCCTTTTTTGCATCCCTCACAGACCTTAGGACGGGAGCCAGGGAAGCGGGAATTAGCTCTTAGCTAGATTGTGGTCCCACGGGAGAAGCAGAACTATGAGAACACATCTGTGAGGATGCTGGGGCTCCCTGCTCAGCCCTGGAGGAACTGGGAGAAGGTGGGACTGTCTGTAAAGGGGCCTCAAGCAGGTCTCTAGACTCAGCGCCCCACCCCAAGAGAAGTTCGGCTTTGAGATATGGGTTCCTGGCCCCCAGATGCTATGGTTTGAAGGCCTCCTCCAAAGCTCATGTTGACATTGAATGGCCATTGTGAAGGTATTAAAAGGTGGGCCCTTCGAGAGGTGACTAGGTCAGAGGGCTCTGTCCTCATGAATGGATTAATGCTGTCATTACAAGGGTGGGTTATTATGGGGGTAGGTTCCTGATAGAAAGGATGCGTTGGTCCCATTTCTATCTCTGTCACACACACTTATTTGCTCTTCTGCCTTCTGTCATGGGATGATGCAGCACCCAGCCCCTTGCTAGAGGCTGGAACCAGGCTCCTGGACTTCCCTGCCTCTAGGTCCCAGAGCCAAATAAAACTTTTGTTGCTTATAAATTACCCAGTCCTTAGTTTTCTGTTACAGCTGCATAAAATTGACTAAGACACCAGGGTGTACTTGCTGGGACCCTGGGACACCAGCCTCCCACCCACTCTCCTGACAGGTGCAGGCAAGCCGCATCCATAGCCACATCCCAGAAAAAGGCATCTCATTACTTGCCTAAGCTCCTGTTCAATTATGCCGGGACTGCTGTGATTGCAAAATGCCAGGAGCTTGGCATGCTGGGGCCACCATGGCTCACAGTAGAGGCCATGTGGCAATAAAGCAGAATGGTCCAATTTCCCACATTTCTCTGTGAGCACACTTTCTCAGTAAGGGGCCACTTTCCTCACCTTGGTGTATCTGTGAGGAACAAGGGACTTCAAACTAATCATTTGAGAAGCCAAGGAACATCAGTTAGATGTGGGGAGGAATGAGGTGCTTCTAAATTCAGTACACATGAGCTCCTGCCGCAGTTGGCTTTAGAAATACAATCCAAGAGGCCAAGAGCCTTTGTGTCCCAGAGACACCCCACCATGTTTGTATGTGATTTCACAATTAGTGGTTCATCTCTGCCATAAATACTTGCACTATTTTAATGTCTTTCAAGATACAAGCAGGGAGGTGCTCAGTGCTAGTACTTCACCCCTGGGTGTGGCTGCAGGGGGTAGTTGGGTGAGCTGTGCCCCTGGGCTGGGTGTGGCGGCTGGACAATTAAAGAAAAGAGGTTCAAAATCCCTCTTTTCCCCAAACCTCCTGAAAGATGGATTAGGATATATGGAAGGTAAACTTCTTTCTCCACCTGAGTTACACTCACTTTGTTGTTGGAATATATGTTCTTGTAGGGCCTGGGCCTCAGACTACTTGAGTTTAAAAAGCAAGGAAGAAAACAGTGAGATTAGATATAAGCTCATGTTTCCTCAATCTGTAAAACCACCTCCTGTGGCCTCACCAGAGCTGGCTAGGCGAACCTGCTCCTGATAGCATGATCAGTCAACCTGGGTCCTTGGATCCATACTGTCACTGCTAGAGCAGGGAGAATGTTGGGCAGACCAAATCCAGCGGGTCACCCTGGCTCCAGACCCCAGACTGTGGTTACATGAGCACAGAGCCTTCTAAGCTGGGTCAGGTTCAAGGTAAGGTCTCTCCTTGTCAAAGGAGCCTCCTCAGGGGGTCAGGGTGGACCGCATTTTACTTCGTTCCTAGCTCTGTGCTTATTACATAAAGGATTTCAGCAAGTGTTCAGTGTGGAAATAAATGAGCATCTGGTGTGGGTATGCCCTATTGATTGGACCACAAGTTCAAGTTTCGAGGAGAGCCATGACTTCTAAATTCTAACCCCAACCCTTTACTGACCTTTGTGTGATCATGGCTCAGTGCCTCAGTTTCTCCTATAACTCTATATTTATATATCCTTCTATCCATGTATGCATCATCTGTTTATCAATAGTCCATCTATCCTCTTTTGCCCCCAAATTCACAGCAATTTTGAGAATCATGAACAATATAAACTAGCTCCATGGGAGTAAATGCAGACATTTGGGAGCCTGCATAACTCTTCCAAGGTATTCCTCTTCCCCAAACACCCAGCATGCATTTACTTTTTACTGTGACCTGGAAACATTCATTGGGCTTTCCAAAATGCCTTTTCCCCTTGCTGGCTTGTGGGCGCCTGGCACTGTGAATGCCGGGTGCTGTCTCAGCCCGCGGCATCACGGCCACTGAGCTCTCCATCTCTTTCAGACCACCTTTGCCTCTTACCAGCGTTTGCTGGGAGGGTGCGCTTCCTGAGTGGCCGCTCAGTCCTGGATATCACAGAACGCCTATCAGGTGAGACTACCCTAGGCCACCCAGCCATCTGTTCATCTCTGGATGCTTTTTGGGCATGAGGTAACCACAGATTATTTAATTGAATATTTTGTGACAGTCTCCACATTGTCAGAAGATAATCTTTTGTTTGGGGTCAAAATGATGCAGGTATGTGCATAACCACATAGTTTTTTTTTTTAAAATGAATATGTCATATTCTTTTTTTTTTAAATTTTAATATTTATTTTTTTAGTTTTTGGCAGATACAACATCTTTGTTTGTATGTGGTGCTGAGGATCGAACCCGGGCCACACGCATGCCAGGCGAGCACGCTACCGAATGAGCCACATCCCCAGCCCCCACATAGTTTTTTAAGAAACTACTATGCAGTTCTTCCTCTTTGCAAACCAGGATTCCTCTGGGCCATTGAGTGTCTTTGTGTGAATCAGAAAAAGGGCCCAGCTAGACCCTGCCTGCTGGAGGCATGGTTTGATGCCTCCATCAAACAGTATTATCGCGAGAGTTAAAAAAAAAAAAATCTGCCGCTTCTGAGGCCTGGTGAACAGGGCGTGGGCTGGATCTAAGCCTGCTCAGCCCCTGGCTGGGTGCTGGACCCATATCACAGGAGAGTGGGGCCTCAGACTGAATCTCTCTACCGGTTCCAACTGCAACTGAGGAAAGATTGCTCCAACCAATCCTACCTGGGCTTGGATTCTGCAGGATGAAGTCCCAGGTGATTTCATTCCAGGCCTGGTTCCTGCCTCTGTGGCCTTGAGGTGCAGCACAGAAAGGGCAGAGTCTGTGGGGGTCTGTGGACCCATTTGCCTCCCACTAGTACTCAGCTTAGTTTATCATCTCTTTTGTTTGCCAGTCCTCCTCTCAACCATGGGAGGGTTCCTTCTTTGGAGGAGGCAGGAGGATGTCTGTACCTTGGCTCCAGGATCACGGAGACATATCATGCTATGCCCCCATTATATCCTCCAGAGGCTCCCAAACTGCCTTAGGAGACCCTTCAGCACTCCCTGGGGTAGCCTGGCCCTGTTTTCTTCCCTGGGTCACCTTGGGCCCATCCCCAGTCACATGCCCTGGGTCATTTAATCTGCACAACAAGCCCTCAAGAAGACAGTTCCCAAAAGTCTCCTTTGGGTAGAGACAAGAAAAATCAAGCTCACAGAGGTTAAACACCCAAGGTCCTTTGGTGAGTCTTCCAGGATTTGTCCCCAGGAGGCCCCGCCTTTGTCTCCTGGGTGCCAGCTTGCCACCCTTGTCTCCTCAGGCCCTTGCCTGCCCACTTGATGCCCCTCTGTGTGGAAAACCAACTTCTTTCTCCCCGAGTGACACCCACTTTGTCCTAGCCTCGTCCCCTCTGTTTCTTTTCTCTGTGTACTTCTCAGGAGTGCATCCATGTAGTATCATAAATCTGCTCCTCCTCCAGGGCCTTGTGGCCTTGGGCACTCAGGGGTACTTGGCACAGGTGGCCTCAATAAGGATCCTGGTGCCAGTTACTCATCTGGTTTATCCTCTGTTCCCTGGTCTTGCCTCTGCTCTTTGGTTCAGTTCACCCTGTGTTGCTGGAGTGGCTTCCTACCATATATCCAGGTGTCAGACCTTCCCCAAACAGGTGCGACAAGTGAGGCAGGGTTGGCCGCAATGGCAGCCACAGAGCAACGCTGTGGGTGCCCTGAGGCAAGAGTAGGGGCATGGAACTAAGACCGCCCAGGAGACCTGACCCTTTTCTGTTGCTCAAAATCAGTGTTCTCTGAGGGAAACCCTTACCAGTCCTGTGTAGGTTACTTAGGGGGCACAGGGGTGGGTGAGTAGCCTCACTTTCTCCACTGACCATAATTTTTTCTCATCTATTTCCAAGAGACCTCAAAGGCACAAGTTTCTCCAGAGCTCTTCTGCTAACTTGGTGTTGTCTAGGAACAGAGAAGAAAATTTCCTTTGACACAAAGCATAGACTAAGAATAGCACAGCTTAATAGGAGTAAATCTTCTGCTAATGACTTCAGCTGCCTTTTAAGCTTGAGCGTAATGGGGTTTGCTCCCTCACCATGGCTCACAGAAGGGCTCCTGGGCCTTTGCAGTTGGAGAGACAGACCCGGGCAGCCAGGTGACTCTGCATCCCTGTACCTGGGGAATGTAGCTCTGAGGCAGCTTTGTGTTGTTAGCAGAGTGTGAACAGAGGAGGTGCATGGGCCTGAGGCAGGAGGGCTGCTGCTCTTTTGGGGTCTGGGTGTCAATGCACCTTATTGCTCTGGGAGAAGAGGGATATGGCAGTAATGCACTTAGGGTAACTTGGCCATAGCCCAAAGGCAGAGACGCCCCTCCTGGAGACCTGGGATACCCTTTAATGTGCTTTGACATGACTTGCTCTGATGTTGGAGGCCTGGGTGCAGGATCAGCTGGCTTCTGGGTATTCTTGGGCTCAAGAGGTTGAGGGGACTCAGGGCGTTCTTCACTGGAAAGGAGGGTCTGTGCAGAGCCTGATGGTTTACAAACATGTTCACACGTCATGGACTTCTGCTGGTCTTATCATGAAGTTTGACCAGATGCTGGGGGCCATGCTGGCCTCGTCCCCTGCTAGATGTTTTCACTGTGAATAAGTCTTGACTTCTGTCCCTAGCACAGCTTTTCTTTGTTTGTGGGGACTTTCATAGGTGGCATTGTGGATTAATGCAATTTTAATATTAGGCTCTATTTGTCACCTGTCTACCTAAAGCTGGACACTTGACACATATTTATCAAATTTCTAACAATTTTGAAGTTGTTCAAGATTGTTATCAAGGATTCAGGATTGTTATCCTGACTTTACAAGTGTATAAAAGGCTCAGAAAAGTTGGGTTTCTTCCTCAGGTTCACACGACTAGTAGAGGCAGGATTGTAACCAGGGTGCCTGCCTCCCCCACCCCCATACTGCAGAGACCTATCATGGTCATGGACTCTGTGCATGTTTGCCTTTGCCTATTCCTTTTTCCACAAAAAAATAAAAAGCATATTTCCTAATTGGTTGATGTAAATATGAACATAAACCAGTTTGGATATATTCATCTTTGTTTTTTTCTGATGCTAAAATAAACTAAAACATTTTCCTGGGTCCCTAAATGTGCCATGATCCTTGGACATTGTGCATGGGAAATTCAGCCCCTCTAGCCTGCTTGCCCTTTGAATGACAGAGTCGGTCTCCCAAGAGAGGGCAGTGGGAGGGGAGAGGGTTCCCCAGCTTATGTGACCCTCCCTCTTTTCTTCCTGACAGTGCTGGTGGCCTCAGTTTATCCCCAAAAGCCTCAGGCTGTGGAGCGGCATGTTCTTCCTGTCCTCTGGTACTTCCTGAACAGCATGACCATGACCGGAAATGGCATCCTGCCTGGGCGTGGTGGGAATGTCCGCACGGTGGTGTGTCAACTGTCTCGGAGCCTCCAGGAGCAAATGGGCTCCCGCCTGCAGGACTTTGCCATTGGGCAGCCAAAGCAAGTCCTTAAAATGCTCCAGGAACTCTTAGACACAGAATCCCCAGGAGGCGGCCACAAGGTCACCAACAGGGAGACACCACCTGACAGCAAGATGACTGGCAGCTCATGCTGATTTCAGCTGGATTAAAGATGGGCCTGAAATGGGCCCTTGTTATTTTTTACCTTATTTTATTTTTATGATGGAATGATCTCCTGGTCTACTTTCCCCTTAGAGTCCCAGATGTACACAGTATATTTTGAAGTAGAAATAAAAGAATTTGTTATTTTTCTAAGGTTTTCTTATCTTGCATTTTGTAACCTCAGAGAATTTTGCAATAGGTGGGTTTATGAAACAAACAAAATGAAACACGAAAACAGCGAAATTTGTTGCAGATGAAATTGAGACAAAGAACGAGGGAAAAAAAAAGGGTAGCTATTATGGTGTGGGTATGCGGTGCGGTGTCCCCTGAAAACTCATAATAAGATTGTGAAAGCTGTAAACTAATCAGGGGATTGATCCATTTGATGAATTAATCCATTTGATGGATTAATAATTTGAAAGGACTGTTGTGCTGGGTGGTAAGTGTGGGCAGGTGGGGTATGGCTGGAAGAGGGGGGTCACTGTGGACATACCTCCCTCTTTCTTTCTGCTTCCACCTGTCATGAGCTTCTCTAAACCCTCTGACATGACGTTCTGCTTCATCTTGGGCCCAGAGTGATGAGTTCCACCAACCACAGACTGAATCTCTTGAAACTGAGCCAAAGTAAACATTTCCTCCTCTAAGCTATTCTTGTCAGGTATTTGATCAGTGATGAAAAGCCAGCTAACACAGTAGCACAGGCCTACATGCTGTAGGTCATTCATGGGTGGAACCTCTGTGAGCAACCAGACATGAAGACCTCTTAAGACCCAGAGCCCCACAATTTTTCAGTTTAATCTGGTCCATTTATTATTGGTCAAATTAGAGGTAAATGTAACAAGAATCTCTAGGAACCTTGCACTTCTCTCTGGCAAAATCTTCAGCACAGCATCTATTGATCCTATGGGAACCTTCTGGTAGGATCTGCTTATCTTGTCAAAAGGCAAGGGGAATGTGACATTTGTGTCAAGAAAGCTTTCTATAGACATTGGCAGCATGGCTTGCTCTGTTAAGGACCATAGCTACAAGGTACTTCAGTCTTGAAACTTTGCAAGTAGCAACGCTTGGTAGAGCTTGGAGTGCTTTGTATTGTGCTATAAGCACATAGTGTCTCTGAAACTGGGCCGATGACTGCAGTTGGGCTGAATCACAATGGTGGAGAGGTATGCAGGGCACAGCATGGGCCAGGACGTGAGGAAGCAGAGAGAGGTGTCAGTCACTGAGATCCTAGCAGGGGGAGGGGATAGTCTGTTGTGGACTCAGGCTCTGGACACAGAAGGGGTGGCTCTGACTTGGCGGGGCCAGTGGCAGGTTAACAACGTGTGACCAGAAAGAAGTAGAGCTCAGGTCATTCAAACACAAGGGTGGGACACACTGGTAAGGTGAAAGCTGAAGGGGTGACAGCTCAGCAAGTTTTCTGTTGAGCCCCACCAGAGGAACTCCTGTCCACTGTCACCTGCCCCCAGGTATGACATCAGTTCCATACCACCTTTCTTCTTCTTCTTCTTCTCTCTCTCTCTTTTTTTGGTACTGGGGATGGAACCTAAGGGTCCTTTACTACTGAGCTACATCCCCATACTTTTTATTTTTTTATTTTGAGACAAGGCTTTGCTAAATTGCTGAGGTTGGTCTTGAACTTGCAATCCTCCTGCCTCAGCCTCCCGAGTCACTGGGATTACAGTGGGCGCCACCATGCCCAGCTATTCCATACCACCTTTCTAACTCCTTCCTGGGGTGTGTGACCCTGAGAGGCCTTATTGCCGGGCAGAATTCAGAGGGTCCCTCCTTATACCCTGGGGTGAAGTTGGACATTTGCAAGTCACCCTGGATTCTGGCTTTCAATAGACTGCTAAAGCGTGACTTTGAATAATTCCAGTCTCAGTGTGAACTACTTCTCCTTCGATAGTAACCCAGCAGGGGCTTCCCTGATAACCACCTTCCTCTTGATCAATTCTGGCTAAGTTAGGTTCAAGGCCTATTGGACAGGGAACCAGCCAAAGGTGCCCAAGAGACTGATTTTAAATGTTTTTAGTCTTAAACAATATAAATGATTGTGTTTGCTTGTTGTCTGAGCAAGCTTTTTTTGGTTGGGTTGGGAGACCTGAGTTTTCTGCTTGTCAAGATCTGAGAATAGATCATAATATTTCAGGAATTTTTAAGACTATAAGAACGCAGGGACAGAGAGTCTGGAAGCGATTTTGAAGGCAGAAATTCAGCTCAACCACATTTTCCTGTCTCAGATACAAAACTCCCTATCTCTGGGTTTTATAACCACCTTCAGGTTTGGAGGTATTAAAAACAGTAGAAAAGAAAGAATAAATCTTTGCGCTAGTCTGTTTCCCTACGTAACTTCAGGTTTAATCTGCTGGTCACACCCCTGGCACAAGGCTTTTAGGCAAGGGCTGGTTGGTTCTGTTGTGGCTTGGGAAATTTCAGTCTCAAGAGATTTTCCCGCATCAGTGCTAATAAAAGAAAAGAGAGGACAGCACATTAGTAGCCTGTGGGCAATAACCACCTGTGGGCAATACCTGCAAGACCCAAGGGGAAGGCCAGTCATGGGGAATGAAGATTGTCCTGTGTGCCAAGGTAGGTTGGACCGTTCCATTCTCTATTGGCTATGTTTGGGCCAGAAATTCTACTTGGGTAAGATGCTCCTGGGGTGGGAACACAGCCTCTGGCTATGGCAAATCTCCCCACCTCTCTCTCTCCTTTTCTTCCTCCCCTTCAAATGAAAGTTTTGAGATTTTATAAAATTTGGCCCTTGCCTTCAGGCTGTGCCTCTTGTTTTCTCTTGTTCAGCTCCTCCCTTCTGGGGTAGTTAAGGGGCAGTTAAAGTGTCTCCTCTGGAGCTGTGCTTGAGAACCACCTCACAAGATAGAGTACCTTGTCTGGGCTCCCCAGGGG